TAGCAAATGCATGCCACTTCTGCGTCAATTTCACTTTGGTTTTAAATATGTAACTGACATATTCATATATTCGCAGTGTGAAAGTTTGACATGATGATGTTCATAGTTGAATTTCTTTTTAGATAATCTCCTTACAAATCCTTCAAATTATATATGACCTTTATTTGGCATGATTGGAAGAGGACCATTAGTGTTCGCCAAATAATCTGATTCCCACACCTTCAATTGGAAAGAATCTCATACACAAATTAAAAGGGATTTTAATTTTTTTGGTATATACACACCTACCTGCTTTATATATTTATACACGCGTGCTGCACAGCATGGACACTAATTTTGGCGGGGTGTTTCGATGCTGTTTTGTAAAAAAAAAATGTAATATAATAATTAAAAAAATTATTTCAAAAATTATAATATCAATTAAAAAAAATTAGATTTATATTATAAGGTTAAATAGTAAAGAAATAAAAGTTTTGAATTTAGTATGTAATATTTAGTTAATCTTATAATTTGTTCATATAATTTAGTAATTTTTTAAAATAAAATCTGTGACGTAACACGCTATTATTATTATTTAGTAATTTAGGCATCCCCGTACCAGAATCATAAATCATCACATCGCAACAGCTGTACAATGCATAGAATGCCATAATCCATGCTCGAAACTTGAGATCATATTAATTAGTATCAACCTAATGATAATTTACCAAACTTTCTGACCTCATTCTCACAAATACTGAGTCATCCTACTCCACAGGTTAGAATGGACGAAAGCAATATGCCATGATGGCCCAGAGGCCCCAGACCAACCATAATCAGGTTTGGTAAGTGCAGTACATACTGAGTCGTCACATTTGCAATTGTCGTGTTACCAACAAGTAGCCACTCACGACACAACAATTTATGCAACTCTTTGAATATGCATGCACGTTGTTTGGGCACTACGCCCATTCAACTTAAATTGAAATGAATTCTTGCAACCTATCTGCCTGCAACTGCAAATTTCGACAGTACAATTTATGTTTCAGTTTTACTGGATCACTCTGAGGACCCATACTCAACATTCATTAGTCATTACAAGCCAAAATTTATATGATTCGATTGTATTATTAACCGTACGATCGACCACGGCCTTTGTTACAGCTGTAAACAATTCCTTCACATACATATATTGCCACTCCACCTAATAAACCCATTCTTGTTTTGTTGGGTCCGGTAATGGGGACTACCTTCGTTTAAAATAAAATTATAAAGGGTCCTTTTTTTTTCTCAATGTTATAGAAATTTCTGCAAAAAATAATAAATAAATAAAACTTTAATTTATAACTAAATGTTACTTATAGTATATAATTATTATTTTTATAAAAATTTATAATTATATACTACCTGTAATATATAGTTATTTTTTTATTGTAGGAATTCCTGTAACATAATAATTCCTTTTGCCAATTATAAATTATGTACTTTAGAAAAATATATAAATATAATTTTTTTCTCTGTCTTTAAGAAATATGTGAATATAACTATTGTATTTTTACTGAGCAAACGTAGATAAGATGATAGTATATTAGAAATTTCGCCGGTAATGCCAGTAATCTCTATGACAAATTCTGCGCCTTACGTACTCCTTAACCACTCTCTCAACTCTCAAGTTGGGAGAATTTTTTCGGGTACCCACATGGCCACATTGTACATCAAAATGGTGACTTTTCATTGGTTTAACCAAAATTTCTCTTCATTTCGTCAATTATCGTCCTCTACCATACCGGTCCTCTCCAGTTGTTCAATCTCGTCAAATTCACACATTTGAGATCTCTATATCACCCAGGTCATAGTCGTACCCGTCCAACTAAATTATTATTTGCTATGGATCTTTTTTATTATATATAGTACGAAATATAATAGTCTCAGCTGTCAACTATGCATGAATTGAATTAGAAATGTCGAAAACGGGGGGAAAACGTTTTGGATTTCTTGGTCTTTGACTATTACTAAATGCCTTCAGGATAAGGTCCAGGGTTATGTTCCTCGATACATTTTATTATATGATACAAATATAAGGAAATCACATTCTCATGTTACATGAGATTATTTTTTCATGTCACACTCATATCAAAAAATGTATCTTTATTTTTAAATAAAAAAATTTGGTGGATCCCACTTTATTTGTCTCTTAACATGAGAGAAATAATCTCCATAAATATAAGCTTGCTTGTTAATTTAACCCTTGAATAATCCATTCGAAATCTGTTCCATCAATTTTATATTTCACCTCATGCTTAGTTTCTGTTTTTTATGCTGTCTTCTACTACATTCAACGTTTGGCGCAGCACCAGGCAGTCTTAATTTTTTCTTACATTAATTATATATCTTTTCCATGAACTTATATTAAATTTATAACTCTACATAATTATTTTTTACTTTCATTACGTAGTTTATGTGACGGACACAACTGACCAATTGCAAAGGCTAGTAATATCAATAGGAATTAGTTTGATGTGCTACTAAGAATAAAAAACAAAAAAAAAAAATATCATACTAAACAATGCCCCAATTTTAAAGGATATAAGAAATCTCGGGAAAAAACAAAATTAAAATATTATTATTTTAATAAATAATTACTAATATATAGCTATTTTGAAATTATTTACAAATCTATTGCATTCATTCATTTCTAAATTGGGAGTGACCATTCACCCCTAAGTTAGGCGTGACTCAGTAGATATTCACGCCTAACTTATACGTGACTCATCTGGTGTTGACATATAGCACTAAAAATTAATAGTTTAATCGTAAAACTTTGGAAGGCCATAACTTTGGATTGGAGTATCCAAATCAGGTAATTTTTTTTTTATTATTCCACATGACTTTTCGAAATCTATGCAATGACACCTATATTTGGAATATTGTATTTCTCACAAACATGGTTCGAATTTGCAACAACGATACTATACGGGCGTTTCAACTCAGAAGCTTTTGAGTTCTTTTCGAATCAACACCATACACAGTCTCCTGCCTACTAGAACCTCCATATCCCTATCATATGGCTATATTCTTATTACTATGAATTGACACTTTATCTTTTAAGTCATAGTTTGAAATTAAAGATGGCACCAAAGTGGATTGGTCAATATTAAAATATATACTTTCTACCAAGTGTTTGAAAAACAAAAAATAATACACAAGGTTATTGAATCGCAATACGTATTATGTATCGTTTGACCAATTTTTTGTATCGTGAGTCGTATGGAATCGTAAAAAAATAAAAAAAATATAACTTTTTTACACTGTTGTAAACCCGGCCCGACCCGGGACCCAACGAACCGATCATCAGACCGGTTTGGGTCAAGCATTGGACCGCTCATGCATCAACCCGGTCAAATCCTGTCAAAACTCGGACAAAACTAGCCAAACCCGGTCAAAACCGGTGACCTAGTCAGGTCATGCATTTTTAGAAGAAAAAAAAAATCAAAAAACCAAAATTGTTTCGTCTTATCAGAAAAAAATGTAGAACTCATTTTAAAAACTTTTTGTAATTTTATTTGCTAGTATACTCTTCTACAATGACCTCAAATTTTAATTTCCAATACTGAAGCGATTTACGAAATAATAAATTAGAGAATGTGACATATGTCATTTTAATGTAGTTGAATTTAAAAAATATGAGTTTAATGTCATTGAGAAATATGTTTATGGGGATTCTGAGTTGCAATTTAAATTGGCATAGTAATAGCGTGCATTTTTATTTATTTATGCTTCATGTTTTTGAGCTTATCTAATGAACCTTGTTTAATTCATTTTAAATATGGAGAATATAATTAAATTTATATGTTCACATTTATATATATTTTTATATATCCGGGTCAACCGGTTCGACTAGTGACCCACCAGTTCGACCAGTGACCCAGTACCCCGACCGGATCGATGCTCGGATCAGGTTTAACAAAACTGCTTTTTTATGACTTTTATCGAATCGTATCGTAAGTCACATCCTTCTGAAGTTGGAAAACGTCTCTGATATGAAACAATGGCCGGGTTTTTATGGCTGGATTCGTTGGAAGCTTATTGTTTTTGAATGGTTTTCAAAAATAAAATATTTCTTCCTTAGAGATTTAGAATATTTATTTAATTATTTTCTTTATTAATACCGATTTTTCAGATTGATTTTTGAGTTTAAATCACAAATGAAATCTTTATTTTCTTTTCCTTATTAATAATAATTTTTTATTTTTGTTAATTTGAATCACAAACAAAGTTATTATCTTTGTGAATGAAGTTGTTTAATTTTTTACTTCTCAACATTAACAAAGTTAGATGTTTGTTTTTTGTAATAAATTTTACAATTTCAAGATTTTTAAAAAGAAGACTATGTTTGTTGTTGGTTCGAAAAGAACTTAGAGATTTTTTTATTTAAATGCTCTTATAATATCATTGATGCAGATTCGAATTGTGTTTGTGAGAAATAAAATATGCCAAAAGTTATGGCATTCCAATGTTATGTGGAATAAAAAAAAATTATCTGATTCGAATACCTCAGTCAAAAGTTATGGCCTTTCAAAATTTTACGGTTCGTAAATTGATTTTTTTTTGTGTCACGGGTCAACTCCAGACGAGTCACCTAATTAATTAGGCATGAATGGTCATGCATAACTTAGATGTGAATTGTCACGTCCAATTTGAACATGATTGAGTACAATAAATTAATAAATAATTTTGAAATAATTATATATTCATAATTATTTATTAAAATAATAATATTTTAATTTTTTTTGACAACAAATCTGCTGTCAAAACTTTAAAATGCAATAGGTTAAAAGGGATACAGCAAGGACCGTTTAGGACTTGGTCTTAACTCTCTCGAAGAATCTAATTTATTTCATTGTTCCCTGAAACAGCTCTATAATAATCAAAATTTCATTTTCATCTTTTAAAAAAAATTATTTATACATATATACAAGAGAAAAAAATCACCGGCGCAAATTTTCTTCCCAAAACTACCCCTACTCCGGTATCGCACTCAACAACGCCGTAAACTTCCCTCTACCACCACCAACGCCACCGCCAACACTCAAGGTCGTTCCTCTCCTTGACCTACGTACAGAACCACCACCGCCACCGACTGACGAAGACAAACGCTTGGAGTCATATTCGGCGGAGAACAAAATCTGTCTACGGCGGCAGCCACATTTATCGGCGGCGGCGGCGCTTTTCATGAGCGCGGAGTTTGCCTTGACGGCCAATGCAGCCAGCTCCTCGGCTTGCAAGGGGTGCCTCAACCGACTCAACGGCAGAGCGAAATAAAGCTGACCTGGTTGCAACTCTTGGTCTTCGTCGATGGCCGTAACGACGTCGTCGAAATCCATTTCGTCGGAGTCGCATATGAAGGACGCGGGATACTTCTGCAATAGGTAGGAAACCTTAACCGGGTAAGAGAACTCCTGCAACCTCCCATCTTGAAGAACAAGCTTGGCCGTGGCAACGTCGGAATCGGAGGAGCTGCAATTTCCCATTATTGATCTCGAGACTCAGTGAGTCCGATGGGCTTGTGACTCGGTAGCAGTGAAAGAAGGGAAATTCGTTGGAGAAGAAAGGAATATGACGCGGAGAATATATATAGCAAGGAAGGATTTGGAGCTGTTAGCCACGTCGGAATTTCGATTTATTTAAAATTCTATAATTTGAAACAGTGGGAAAGGCTTTCCAGGCTGTAAGTTGTTGTTGACAGGTTGTATTACTCGCATTAGTGTGCGAACTCTGACCCTATTTTCGAGGTTCATATATATTTACGGTTTCTGCCACTTAATGGTGAAAATGTGGGAAGCAAGCAAATCACGTGAAGTCTCGTGGGAGTCGTGGTGTCTCTCTCTCTCTCTTTTTTAACCGTGGTAATACCTAACCTTGCACCGTAGCATCAATGGTTATGGGCGATGGTGGATCTTCTTCTTCTTCTTCCAAATTAAGTGTAGGATTTAAAGTTGCAAGTAATAAAGTTGAATGGTAAAGTTTGCAAAATTTGGGAAGCACACTGGCAACAACCTTTGCGAGTATCAATTTCTTCCATGAGATGGAAATGGAACTACTCAAATTCTTAAATGGCTAGTACACACTCGGGTCATTGCGGATTCACCTTTCCCCCTTTCTGTTTTGTTTCTTTTAATCAAGAGGGTAAATGTTGAAAATATTACGTTGGAAACCTTTATATATCTTGAATTCTAAATCATAAAAAGTAGATTAAAATGCTCAAACAAATTTATATTTATTTATTTATTTTTGAATATCACGCCATTGCATTCTACTAAAAGATAAACATCAATCAATGAATAGCAATACTAGCATATAAAAATAAAACTATGCCTCTTTTTCTTTTTGTCGTTTAGTTTCTTCTAACACGTGAAAATATCTCTCTATCTCTTTATGCATATACACTTTTAAGTAACGAGAATTTTATAAATCAAATACATTTTACGTGTGAAAGCTGAGTAGGTAGGAATAAGAGTATGTATTTAATTTTCTTTCATATTATTTTTTGGAAGAATTTAAAATTTTAATCTTAAATCAAACTAGTCATGAAATAATGAACCAATTAGAATATTTTTTTTAAAAAATGAGAATTTTATTTTCATAACGATGACGAGTTATTTTTATTTTTTGGATACATAACGATGGCGAGTTATTTGCCAGACAATAAAGCCAATCTCGGTACTGACTTCAGTGTTTGTTTTTTTGTTTTTTTAATTAAAAGAAAAGTACATGCTAAAAGGTAAGAGATCCCGCTTTTTGTGATATCATATAGAAAATTAATGAGGGGTAACCTCAATAATCATTATTAGTGATGGCAAATCAAACAGTTTAAGGGCTCGTTTCTATTGTCTTTTTAAGAAAATCTTTTTTATCACTTCTTTATTTTAAAAGTATTTTTTATAAAAGTTACAGCTATTTAGATTTTTTTAAAAATATTTGATTTTTTAAAAAAATATTTAACTTTTGACTTCTGTTTTTTTTAAAAGCTAAAATTTTTAACTTTCGAAAAAAATAGATTTTTGACTTTTTTTATGACTTATGTTTTTTTTAAAAACAGACATCCAAACAATTTTTTTTCAAAAACTGTTTTTTTCTTCTTAAAAAAAACAGTTTTTGAAAGAAAAAAAGCTCACCCAAACAACATCTAACTCTTTCACATTGTGCATGCATTTTGATTTATGCATAAAGAGATAGAGGTCTACGGTCTACCATTCTTGAATAAGGTTACTTCTCCGGGTGTGGAAAATTTAATCATTGAGCACACCAAATTCTGTGTGTCGTTATTTATTTATCTAGGAAACAAAACTACACAGCAAATGGAGATTGGTAATGAGTGTGTGGAGAGTGGCGCGAGAGAAGAGGACGTACGTGGCAACGAGAGACGTCGATGGTGCTTCGCTGCAAGGTAGATGAGAAGCCACGTCCATTAAAAGGACTTTGGAAAAGTAAACTGGACAAATAAAACACTAATAATAATTGATTTTTGATAAATAATTAAATAAGATATAGAAGCAGAAACACTCCGACAGAAACTTGCGTAAGGTGATCTGGGTTGAACCCCCAGGCCTCAACCCTGCAGCCACAACCCATTGCATAAACTATGTTACTAAAAATTTATATCTTTTGCATTTTTTACTTTCCAATAATGCAACAAGGTTGGGGACTCAAGGCCACAGTACTAGTAAAAGCAAACATACTATAAGGCTTAAGAATTTAACACCTACCCTCCATCCATTTCACTCTACACTACTTAGCATGATGTAAGAAATTCTTCCCTGCGAAGTAAAGGGAAGGTACATTAATGCCTCCTTTTATGTGGCCCTCGGTGGGGGTTCAGGGAGGGTGGGGAACTAAAGTGAAGCACTTTTTTGTTTATGTATTTAAATTCGCGGTTCATGATATTGATTAAAAAGACATGTCTTTCTCTTCCTTTAAAATATTTGGTTCTCATGAATGAATAATGAATAATGAATAATGATTGTCCTGACCCACCCCTCAAACCTTCGCACGAAGCTTCTTAACTAATTCCCTTCCCCACTTAATCATGGTCATCATATAACAAGGACCACCTGACAATTATTTTTTCGCTTCTTTCTTTCTTTCTTTTTTCAAAATACTTTTACTTTTATACTTATTTATCATTACACTTGAGCCCAAATCGAACTTAAACTGTTATGTTAGAATAAATTAATTAGATTAATAGTTTTATAAATTCACTGCTTATTTGGTGAATTTACAAATTGTATTTTGTCTATACCTTTTTCCTTCTTTTTTTGGGGTACTAATACCTTTTTTCCTTTTTACTCAAGACTACATCGTATTTAATTAGATTCAACTCTTTAATTTTAGAACATGTAACAATATATTTCAATTTAATAGTCTGATAAATTCAAATCTTAAAAGAAAGCGATTTGCCTTTTTGCATGGTAAATAATTACTATAACTACATATTTGACCAAAATGTTTTCACTCCTTTTTTTTTTTTTTTTGTCGTTTACAAAGTTTGAAGGTTAAATTGGAAGTATTTTGACTTGTTTCTATCATGAATAGAGAACCACAGGCGAACTGTAATTTTGAAAAGGACAACAGTTTGAGTCCAACAATAATAGTATTATTTCACGTATAAAAAATTAATTTTATGCTCAAAAGATGTAAAGATATTAAAAACAATTGTGAAAATATTTACTTTTTATTGGTAAATTATTTTCTATACTCTCAATGTAAAAGAATCATTGACACATTCTTGCCGAACATATTCTATCCAATATTCTTCTACACAAACTACTTGAAACTAGTTTGTAATGTCCGCAAGGAAATATATAGTCAATAATCAGCGTGAACACTTAATGTTTTTTAAGGGTAAAAATATTATACACTTGTATTTTTTTAAATTTTTTGGGTACAATATATACTTGTATTTAATAAATTAACAAATTATTTAATGTGTTGATATATTATTTAGTAATCTTGACCTGTTGTACAATTATAAATACAATCAATTTTTTTTTGTAAGCAAAATACAATCAAATTTATTAACTAAAGTATCAACACAAATTTCATAATAATATAAAAAATTTAGACTGGCAATCCAATAACATATAAAAAAAATTCATGTTATTCATTTAGACACTCCTGTAGTCCTGTGCAGTTTGAATTGAAATAAATCGAATAATCAATAAATTAATTAGGGATATATATATATATATATATATATATATATATATATATAGGGTAAGGATCATTTTACACCAGTGTAAGTTACACTCTTAATCTTGTCTGTTGATCTCATTTATATTTAAGGGCTCTAATTTTTTAGTAATGTGAGCCATTAGATATAAGTGGATCAATGGTCAAGATTGAGTGTAAGACTTCTAACTCTTACACCGGTGTAAGAATATCCTGCCCCATATATATATATATATATATATATATATATATATATATATATATATAGTTAGGTTATACGTCGTACAACCTTTTTTTTACAACCTCTTACAACCATATCTTAACACTGTTGATTTCCGTCAATCAACGGTTATCATTTATTGTGAATTAATAATTAATTAATGAGTGCGTATATTATACAAAGTTTTATATTATAACTATATAATCCTTGTAGTACATAGTTATAATGGGTGACATAAGAACTTTTTTTCAGCAACCTAAAAATAAAAGTATGATTCCCCTTAAAAGTATGACAGAGAAAATATTATAGTGTTACCTAAATTGGAAGAAACTTCTCATTCTTATTCTGTTTTTTAAAATGTGCTTCTACTAGAAAATCACAGTATTTTTTTTGTCGTAATATATTTATTAACCATGAGTAACCAAAATACATCACTCTATAATTTTTGTTTTTATTTTTATTTTATAATTTTGGGTAGGGATTTCTGAAAGGGAGTTCATTAAGAAATCTATAGGATTACTTATTATTTTTTTCGATCTGATTAGACATGTGCGCACACGATGCATTGAACTCAAGAATATATTCCATGGCACCGCTGATATGTTATAGATGGAAGTTATGGCAATGGTACTCATTCTGTACTGTTCAATTGACCATTCAAGGGTCCTGTATTTTGAGAGGTCAAAAGATGGGCATGCCAACCTAGCTGGCAAAAAGTGTTGATGAGGAAGGAAGCTTCACGGTTATGACACTGCTCGACTTTACAATCAAATATCCGATTTGATCAATGATACAAAAAATCATATTGGAAATGTCATGGGACATGAAAATCTAATAGACTGAGATAACAAAGATTAGGATGTTTGCTACTATGTTTTAAGTCTAAATACGAAATACGTTATTACGTTCAATGTGTTATTGCCGGTTGGTGGAGATGATTTGTTTCCTTCACCAACTCTTGCGTGCTTCCTAATCCAATTTATTTAGCCAAGATACATCCACATACTGCAAGATTATGAACTCTATTATTGGGCACGAGGATTTTCATTAGGGAAGGTTCCTCCACAAGCAATCGTGAATCTTTGCCAAGATCAGCAAATGAATGTTGAAGGCTTGATGCACGCACATATGCTGATTGAAATAATCATTAATTTATGACTAAATCATACAATAATGCCATACATAATGCCTAAAGTGTAGAAGTTTGAAACTCGGAGGCGTTAAGCTCCTTTATGAAGAGGTAGAATGTTTGTATTCGAATTAATTTCAAGAAATTATATAATATACTCTACATGCCAAAGGAAGCACGCATTGGATTCATGAAACGTATTAAAACATGTTCTATTAATATTATATTAAAGTTTTTTATTTAGTGCAAAGGTTGAGTAAGTTACTAGGGGCAACACTTTCAGGCTTCCATTTGCTGCGTCGATCAACGTTTCATCAATTTCAGATAATGAATCCGAAAGAACCGAGACAATGTCCATATTGGATTATATACACGAAAAAAGTTAAAACTTTTTTTTTTCTTTTAATAGAAGGTGGCATTTAAGTCATTTAAATTAATTTTGATTTCATGTATAGACTTGAAAAACTTTGAAGAGGAATGATCATTTCATTTTCTGAAATCATCATTCCATCCATCAAGCTTGTTGCTGAATTAAGTATTACCAGAGTAGTATATTTCCTCTGCATCCGAAGGTTTACATGGATATTCAATAAACTTTAGATGGTCCATTAATTGATCCAGCAAGGAGGATATACTGGTTGAAGCTCCATGACTTTTGTCATCCACCATAAATTGATGGCAAGAGCCATCGATTTCAATGAAGCTAATTGCCCTACACTTTTTTATCCCACTTTCATCCATTATTTTCCTGATCTTGTTCATGTCATCCCATCTTTGAGATTCTGAATACATGTTTGAGAGAAGGACATAAAGCCCAGAATCATGTCGTCCCAATTCCAACAACTGCTTCATGATTTGCTTACCAATCTCGAGATTCCCATAGGTTCTACAAGCACCAAGCAAAGCACCCCAAACCACAACATCCGGTTTAATGGGCATCTTTTGTATCAGGGCCATTGCTTCTCCTAAGAATCCCCCACGACCTAAAAGATCAACCATGCATGCATAATGTTCAACATCAGGAGAAATCCCAAAAGTAGAACTCATTGTGTCAAAGTAATGTCGCCCCAAGTCCACAAAACCACTGTGGCTACAAGCAGAAAGTAACCCTGTGAAGGTAATCTCATCAGGACTGAGCCCACTTGCTTGCATCTTCTCGAACATCTCAACAGCTTCTTCTCCAAAACCATGAAGAGCAAGTGCCCCAATAATAACGTTCCATGACACCACATTCTTCTCGGGCATCCCAAAGAAGATGTCCATGGCAGTCTGAAGAGCCCCGCATTTTGCATACATGTCTATTAGAGAGTTACAAAGCGTCACACTCACTGTAATATTATTATCACAAACGTAATTGTGAGCTTGTTTTCCCAATGCCAGATCACCCATGTGACTGCAGGATGAAAGAATGCTAACAAGAGTAGCATCGTCAGGCATCACACCTGAAACAATCATCCTGCAGAAAAGTTCCACAGCTTCCGTGTACTGTCCTTCTTGAACATGACACCAAATAATTGAATTCCACGAAACCACATTCTTCACCGGCATCTGATTGAAAATTTTCAGAGCATAATCAATAAGCCCATGATTTGCATAAGCATTAACCATACAAGTCCATGAAACTACATCTTTATCATGCATCCGATCAAAAACCCTTGTAGCATTTTGCAAATGCCCGCACTTGGCATACATATCTATGAGGGCATTTGTCACGATTGAATCAATTTCAATTCCGGTAACAACGATATAAAAATGCACAAATCTCCCCAAATCCAAATCACCAAGCTTTGAGGAAACAGAAAGCAAGCTAACCAAGGTGAACACATCAGGATCCAATCCCAGGTGTCGCATTTCTCGAAACAACAAAATGGCTTCTTTGCAACAGCCCATTTTAGAATATCCAGCAATCATGGAATTCCAGGAGACAAGCGTCCTGTCAGAAATATCATCAAACACTTGTCGTGCACTTGGCATCAAACGACAAGCAACATAGGCACTCAAGAATGCATTTTGAACACAAACATGAGAACCCATTCCGAGCTTAATGGCCTGAGCATGAACGACAACAGCTTCCCAAAAGGAGGGATTGAAAGCACAAGCTTTGACAACAAAGGGGATGGTGAACTGGTTTGGTATAAGGCCAGCACTCATCATTTGGCGGTAAAGCAACAAAGACTTTATTGGGTCATGGCTATTTGAATAACCCCTAATTAAATGATTGTACATGAATTTATTTGGTTGGGGAATTTGATCAAACAGGAGCTGTGCGTAACGAAGATCTCCCACTTGAGGAGTGGCGCAGAAAGAGACTAGCTTGCCTAGTGTGAGCACATGACCAGCAAGTCCATGCAGGATGATCTGGGCGTGGACACGCTTGAGTTGTTTCATGGAGCAACATTGGTCGAGGAGAGAGTGAAGGGTTTGGTGAATGGGTGAGTGCCAAAAGGTTTTGCTTATTTGTGTTTGTGTGTGTAAGCACCCAACGATAAACTGGCAGGAACCAACGCTCGCGGCTTTCGGTTTCAGAGTGGAGAACATCAAATCCAACTACATACATAACTTTCTTGTTCTAATCCAATTTATTCAATTTTTTCTGGTGTTAATTAAAAAACTATTACGAACCACCTTAGAATCTCATTTCAATTAAAAAAAAATGACATTTAAGAATGGGAAATTGTTTTCTCCATAGCAGATAAATAACTATATATAAAACGACGTGCTTGTATTTTTTTTTTTTAATTTGTGGGCTTCACATTTTTTATTAGTGTAAGAAAAAAAAATTCTCTCATATTAAATGAGAAAAATATTAGCCTTTAAGAATATGTATGTATTTGTCGCAAATATTCTCAGTACTTTTATTGAGTATTCGGTATATGTTTTATCAAATATGATAAAAATTAATATTTTTACATTACTCTTATCTTTATATTTATTTTCATTCATATGCCATATTTTTCTATTTTAGGAAAGGGAGAATATTCTCATTGTATCGAAAATGAGCTCCTATTTGTCTATTTATCTAGCACCTATATTTAATATAAAAACTCATTTATTTTCTCTTTTATTAATTTTTTATTTCTGTCGTTTATTTTTTTTTCTTAATTTTTCATATTTTCAACATTTCAAATTTTATGTTTTATTTTTTCTACAGTTAATTTTTTTTCAAAAAAATAAAGGTGTATTAATTTTTAATAAATTGAAAAATGCATATTTTCAAAAAAAAATGTAAATTTGATTTAAAACTTAATAAATAGCAAACAAATATAGATTAATAATTATAAAAAAGTTACTTTAAAAAATTTATCTAATATATAGAAATAAATATGATGACTTACATGTTTTCATAATTAAAAAACCATATTTAAATATTATCACAAAAAATAATGCAAAATTAAAACATATAATTTTTATATTTTGAATGTAAATCTTTCTGGTATGTTTCGTAATATTATAAGAATATTTATATTATTTCTTTAATTTGTATTAAATTTTTTAACTATAACTTTAAATTTTAAATATAAACTTTTTAAAATTATTAAGAAATATATATGTTAAATATTTATTTATCATATAAAAAACTCATTATTATAATCATTAAATCTAGAAAATCCATGCTATGCATGTTTTATAGTAAATCACCCCTCCCACTTGTCACTAATTTAAAACTTCCAAACACTACTCTTGTTTCATTGTCTAATTTTAACATTATTATGTTATATGATGAATCACTTATCACACTAACTGATCAAGGATTATAATTTTATTGACATAGCTCATAAAAAATATTTCAATTAATTATTATCGATCTATCATTAACTGAGTGACATTATTTATATGATATAATCTACGTTAAAATTGATAGAAGGAAAAACATTAATAATATCTCTAACGGCTTTAGAATAAAAAATATCCTTATTTTTTTATTAATAATGATCCTATGATAAAAACACTCATATCTCTTCTTAATAATGTTAACACCTTTATGTTTTTCTTTCATTGTTGTCCTTAATTAAACAAAGCTTTTCGACAAGATTCAACCTGACGAAGGAAGGACAAAATGAAAGAAAAATAGTTGATCGACCATTTTGCCCTTACAGGACGTTTGGTACTGGTGAATTTTTTTTTATCAGGAAAATATAATTATTAGGAATCTGCAGGAAAAATGAGTTAGATAGAAAAGTTAAAAAAAAAAAGTTGTTTGGTTGGGCAAAATATTACTGAGAAAATTGAGTGAAATTCCTGAATCTATGTTTGGTTGAAAATAAAATATTGATGGGAAACCAGGCTGAAATTATAAAATAACTCTATACAAAATAACTCTAATGCGAACTAATGTTGAAGTCATCAAAGGGTAGTTTTGACATCTCCTATGTTCACTTCTTTCACTTAGTTAGCTATCACTCAAATACCACCCTCCAAGTAGGATTTGAGTACCATATTTTTGGTCCAATTTTGCATACAAAGTTTAATTGCTAGACAAATGGGTTAGCTAGACAAATTTTTAAATAATCTCTTCCAAACATAGATATACTACTTACCCACTTTCAAATGCCTAGCAATATTTCAAGATGACATGTACCAAATTTTTTAAAAAATCACTTTACCTTTCTTCCCAGACTATATATCAATTTGTTCCTATTTTGATCAATTGACCACTATTTACTTGAGGAAGTTACTCAAGTAAGTCAGTTACTCCCGTAAGTAATCCACTTACTCGAGTAAGTGAGTATAAACTATGTTGTACATATTTTTTATATACGGCCACTCCATTAAGTCTCATCAGTTATCGTCAAGTTCAATAATAGAAATAAAATGTGTCAAACAGACATAAATCTTTAAAAGCAACGCCACATGAAATTCCTTAATCATTCCCAAAACCCATTAAGGAAGCATTTTTTTCAAATTTTTTTTTACCAAATCCCTCCGAATATTTGCTATCGTGTAAATTTCAAAAAGTTACATGAAACAAAAAGAAAATCTGATTCGAATAACCGAGCCGAAAGTTATACCCTTTCAAAGTTTACACTGTTTTAGGGTATAATGAGTTTGGACGGAGATTGTCTTCAATTATTGTAAAGAACCTTGGGATACACCACCCCAAAAGCTAGCTCAAAGAGTGGAAGTGCCTAAGGCCATATAAAGGCCACATTAGTTACCCACACAATCAATGTGGAACTATATATCTCAACACGCCCCCTCACGCAAGAGCCATTTAGGCTAGAAGGGTGAAAATTGCAAAGGCCCATTTTTGGTTTACCTTTTTGTGCTTTTTATTTTATTTTAATTCCACTTTTTAAAGCGGGGGACGGTGTGGCTCTGATACCATATTAGTTGCGGAAGAAAGAAAGATTGAGAAGAATACTTCATTATCTTGATAGAACGAAAAACTGTACAGATTACAAGTTGTACTGATATATTTATATCAGTTAACAATAACTGAAATAAACTAACAGCTACTTAACTTACAGTTAATAACAGAATCAACTAACTTAATCTATTAACAGTAACAGAATTAACTAATAACTACTTCCTAACTAATTATAGTTCCCAATATCCCCCCTCAAGTTGGGAGTGTTATATCAACCAATCCCAACTTGGAAACGTTGTTATGAAAAGGGGCAGGATGCAAGGATTTGGTGAAGACATCAGCAAGTTGGTGTTGGGAAGCTATGGGAAGTAATCTCAAAAGACCAGTGTTGATCTTTTCTCTTGTGATATGGCAATCGATGTCAATATGTTTGCTGCGTTCATGGAAGCTGGGATTCTGAGCAAGATAAACAGCGGATTGCTTATCACAGTAAACTGAAACGGGTTGAGGTAAAGGAATACCAAGATACCGAAATAGATAAGCAATCCATTGTATCTCACAAGTCAGATTTGTCAAAGCACGATACTCCGCTTCAGATGAAGAACGGGAAACCGTGTTCTGTTTCTTAGAACGCCAACTGATTAATGAAGAACCGAGAAAGACACACATACCAGTGACAGATTTCCTAGTGTCTGGGCAGCAGGCCCAATCACTGTCAGCGAATGCAGATAAGGAAATAGAGTTCTTAGTAGGAAAGAAAAGTCCTTTACTTGGAGAGGCCTTGAGGTACCGAAGCACACGACAGGCTGCAACATAATGCTCTTGTGTAGGAGAAGCCATGAATTGGCTTAATTGTTGAACTGAATGTGTGATGTCTGGTCTCGTGGTAGTGAGATACAATAATCTCCCAATTAATCGACGGTAGGCAGCAGGATCAGAATATGGGATTCCTTGATCACGACTGAGTTTAGAAGAAGGAGTGGATGGTGTGGAGACTGGCTTGGCCTTATAAAGGGTGAGAGTGTCCAAGGCCTTATAAAGGCCACATTAGTTGGGAGTGCTCAAGGCCTTATAAAGGCCACATTAGTTGCTCACACAATCAATGTGAGACTATATATCTCAACACACCCCCTCACGCAAGAGCCCTTTGGGCGAGAAGCGTGAAATTGCAGAGGCCCAATTTTTGGTTTACCTTTTTGTGCTTTTTATTTTAATTCCACTTTAAAGTTGGGGGTCATGAGGATCGAACTCGGATCGAACTCGTGACCTTATAGTCACTCAAGCTCTGATACCATGTAAAGAACCTTGGGATACACTACCCCAAAAGCTAGCTCAAAGAGTGGGAGTGCCTAAGGCCTTATAAAGGCCACATTAGTTACCCACACAATCAATGTGGAACTATATATCTCAACAATTATTTTGAACCTTGAACCCATATATGAAGTCCAAATATGTGTGTGCATGATATAATAAGCATGGATTGATAAAAAAAGAACAAAATGTAACAAATTATATTGAAAATCAAACAAAAAATCAACTTTTGACACCTTTATTTGAATGGAAACTGCCCTCAATTGTAAATGATCCACAAACACCCACCCCATGTTCATTTATACACGCACAAGATATTAAAACTCTGTTTCAATAAAAAATATTTGTGAATCTAAATTTGAGTTATCCACTTCTCTGGTTTACTCGAGTAACTAGTGAGTAACTGACGGTTAAACTAAAACAGATTGATATATAGTTTAAATAAAAAGTTAAAATTAATCTGTAATTTTAATAAAGGCCAAAGTGGCAAATTACTTTAAATACAGAGGCACAATTATCAATCACCGGAGAAAAATATAAAGTTGTTAACCGTGTTAAGAAGAAATATGAGTGTCTCTGCCATGGGAGTGGATCCTTCATGTGAAAAAGTGGTCATGTGGTCATGTGGTCATGTTATTTGATCACAATCACTCATTTAAAAATTATACACTTTTCTCTCTCTTATCTCTGTTATATGAGATAAGAGAGAGAAAAGTGTATAATTTTTTTTTTTTTTTTTTTGTAAATATAAAAGTGTATAATTTTTAAATGAGTGATTGTGATCAAATAACATGACCACATGACCACTTTTTCACATGAGAGGATCCACTCTCCTCTACCATAGAAGAGATAACTCATCTAATCAATCTATTGATTTTATTTTATTTTTTACCATCTAATTGATTTAATATTAAATTTAAATCTTATTTAATTCATTCTGATCTAGAATGGCTACTGGATTGGGAGAGCTTTTTTGCTACTACTGTATTACCTATATCATATTTAAAAAGAGTAAAATATCAGTATTTGAAGGGGAATATGATTAAAGGCATGGATTCAAATAAAATAAAATTTTTCTAATTTGAGAAAAAAAGTTTTCTATTTCTTTTTAAATCCTAATTTTTGGTCCCTGCTTGAAAAGGATGTTGGTACTACTATAATACCGAAAAAGCACTCGAAATCCAGGTCATCAAAATTAATCAAAAGTGATTCACTTTTGTAAAAGTGGTATAATTTGATAAAAAAAAAAAATTAAGTAAGGATAAATCAACCAATAGAATTATATATACTATAGGTTTGATTTGGTTCGGATTAAATTAATTTTTAAACTAATAACTAAGTACCAATCTAATCCAATCAAAACAGTTTAGTTTTATGTATATAAAAAAAAAATAGTTTTTCATTTTTATTTTCATTTTCCAGTTTTTTCAATTTCATTATTATTATTTTTTTGGAGATTATCTCCCAATAATCCCGTAGTTTTGCTATCATTGTGAAACATTGTCGAGATGAAACATTGTTGACTACAGCAATCAAAATTTATGAGGGGGAAACAGAAAATATTTGCCTGAAGAGCAAATGGCTTCGGTCATTTGCCCCCTTTTAATTCATGTAGATATCAACAACGAGCTATATATTTTACACACAGCAGACAAGCCAAAAATTAAAAAGACAGGAAGCTGATGTAAGAAACCAAGACAAGAAGGCCATAGCAGCAGAGAATTGAAATCTAGCACATAACTTTGCCGGGCAATGGGATCCACTTTCAAGCAGAAGATTGGTGACACCTTCTGTAGAACTTGCTGCAGCCAGTGAAAGATATGACAAAACCTGGAGTTCAGAAAAACTCAATATCCTTAGTTCAGTGCAGTTGCAGTATGGGGAAAATGAGGCCTTTTATTCTTGGAAATAAACTGTACGTACTATGTCTCCCGAAATGATTGTCGTTATGAGCCTTCGTTGAATCGGTAACTTTTGTATGAAGACGGTGTAGCCATCTATCACTAACAATGTTATGCTCCATGGAATTACCAAACCCATGACTATTACCAAAAAGCTGTGGAATAGAACGTATAAAGATACAAGTTAAAATTCCCCAAGTGAAGCATATGCATAGAGGATAAGCTTAACAGGATAAACTGCAAGACATGCCAATATAACGTTTGAAACTCTAATGACATGCATCCCTTTTTCCTTCTGTAGGTTTTAAACTACGTACTTTCTATATGAACCGCATAAAAAATGAATTGTGCTCTCTTATCACAGCCAAACCATGTCAGAATAAGATTCTAGCAACGCCGAAAAAATTGAAAGTTGAAACCCGTGTCTTTGTTTGCCATCATACCAACAACTCCACTTCGATGATGAATTGGAGAACGTGAAAGATGTTGGCAACTCCAACTTTGTATTAACCTCAATTAATGAAGGGTTTTATAATTCTCATTTAACATAAGAATTGAAATTTTTCTATACACCCTTCGATTTCCATACTGACATGGGTCCTACATATAATTTTTTCTAACATATGGTTCCACATGATTTTTGTCTCTATAACATAAGATTTCTATTCTCTTTCAACATGAGAATTATAAAACCCATTAATGAAAGGTTAAAATTAAGTGAAAAAATTAGAAAGCATTCGTTCTCAGTTTTCCTAAGTCCTGATATGATTCCAAAGTGACCACAGGCTACTTCAATATCATTTCTCCTCACCATTCAGGAATATAAACTTTCCATGACCAAAAAGCAGGAACCTAATAGCACATAATGTTTCCAAGAACCCTCCTTACAATGGCAAAATAGCAATTTCAAGGCCAGTAAAACTGTAATGTATTCCTGCCTACAATTTCAGCAGTGTATAATATAATAGATTACTGCTACATTTCTCTAGAAAGTAAAAAGAATGAATCTGTAACATACCAATATGGATTCACCTTTCCAAATTTTAATTTTCACTACAATAACTAGAGAAACACAGGCAGGGCAACCCTTGATTTGTTTGATTTCTTGTATAACTAGCTCAATTTTTGTAGTTTGCAAAATGGATTCTACTTCCAACCTAGTGTCTTTACAACTAACTTATGAAAGATGGGTACCATTATTTTATTGTAGCATGTTCTACAAAACGGAGGGGCAGAAGGAAAAAAATAAAAAATAAAAGAAGAAGATAAAAAGTCAAGAAATTTATGAGGTTCGAATCTTTCATAGACAAGTGACAAGAATTGGGTAAAAATAATGAGAAACGAGAAATAGGTTAGTGAAGAGAAAGATGAAGATACAGAAATAAACAAAGAGGGGGATAGCATACCAGAAAGCAGTGTAGGAGTAGAAACTGACGTCCAAGCACATGAAGAAAAGGGAAGCAGAGGAGAACACGGTCTGACCCAAACGAAGAGCGAAGCTTCCGCTGCTGCCAAACGCCCCTGGCAGTTCCTCCATCATCACATAACATAGCATGCACCTCCTTGATCCTTATCATGCCAATTTAATCCTCCTCAATTTTTTTGGTAACATCAAAATCAATCACAGAGAGTGGTTAGCAGAAATAATTTTGGCAAAGAAATTATAAAAAAAAATGGAAATAAATAAGATTAAACTGGGAATATGTATGTATGTATGTGAAATTGAACCATAAAATATAAATATGGAAATAGAGGAAGAGCATAACACAAAGTGATACAGACACTAATAGTAAAGTTTATTTTATTTTTGCTTTTCCGTTTAGGGTGGATTGCAAAAGAAAATGCAATCTTCTTCCGAATACACAAAAAGTTTAGAGACAGGGATGGATTTGGTAAGCTTGTCTTTCTACGTAGAATGTGTTCCGTTGGCGCAATACCGTGTTGATTCGGATACGTCCGTCTTAGTCATTCAATCAAATCAAACTGTACAAATTGCATCATACAAAATAAAAATTAACAAAACCAAAAAAAATAAAAAATGTTGTGTTTCTTCATCGGTTTGCCCACAATAATTGTGCCACGAAGCTATTTTGTTTGCTACCATTTTTATATACCCATTCTTTGTTCTCTTATCTCTTTCTTTTTATTCTAATTTAACATATTAATTAATGGATTTATCATTTTTTTTCTGCTACAGATAATAAAGTTATTAACATCAACTTTAAAATTACATTATTTTTAGGGTTGAAAGAATTAATGAATAGTGCTTTAATAAAATTTATATACTAAAAAAAATAATAAATAAATTTTTTAAAATATCCTCCATTAATTTTTTAAACTTTTCAAAATGATGAAATTTTAGGGTTGTGGTAAATAACTTATTTAATTACAAGATAGGGAATAAAGAAAGAAGATTTAATTTGCAAATACCTTATTTTGGTTTTGAATAAGTAATTTGAATTCATTAGTTATTGTAGTAAAATTTTAAACTTTTAAGGTCAAATATACACTTTGCCTGTCTAATTTTATTAAATTCGTTTTGTGTGTGTGTGTTGGGGTGTGTTGGAGTTCTGTTGTTTTATACTCCCCGATTTATATATTTAGGCACATTATACCAGATTTATTGCAATCTCTCTTTTTATTTTAAAATTAAATTTTATTGAAAAATAATTAACATCAATTATAAAAATACTTCATTATTGCAATCTCATGACTTTATGGGAATTACTCAAAATCCCCACAACTAGCGGTATATATGTTTACAAAACTGTACGGCGTTGTACTTTCATTAATCATACGCTTAAACAATAAGCATTGCATTTAAACATCTATTAAACGTACCATAAATTTTGAAAATTCTGTTCCAAAATGGTCTGCATGACTAATAAGAAGTTTATCGATGAGTGTGGTAGTTCATACCCATTGTCAGCATTTTAGTTAAAAATATAGTACAATGGGCTTAAGAGTTTAGATTAAATGAAGAAGTTTGAGCTCTTTTTTCCTCCACATTTTTTGTGAACCAGAGCAGAGGATGTAATTGCATTTATTTTCTTTTGGTGCCTATCCACCGAATGCATACCAAGAAGGAAGTAAATCAAGTAATAAAAACCATATTCAAATATCTAGGATTGTCAATCCACCAAACACAGCTCACTTTGGGGTTTCATTGGCAGTTTTCTACAAAATGTCAATGTTTGGATTGACCTAGTTACTATAATCTTATGGACAATCAGGATTGAGGAACATGTGTGTACGTTGGTATTGCATTGCACCAAGTAAAAAATGCATGCTCCAAAACGTAACTTAGACATATTAAGCATTATAGAATCGAAGTCATTATAATATACACACATGACAATGCTCTCAGTGCTTCGCCAGTTGGGATCACAAGATGATGCAGCAACACCGTCGAGTTACAACAAAATCTAAACCAACAAAATACAATTACAGCATTAAAAAGAAAAAGAAAGAAAGATCTATTACTCAAGCTGAGCATACCAGACGCCTTGGATCTTCACATCCTTCGGAGCTTTAGCCCCTAAATCAGTATCAGATGGCTGAAGGCTCTCGAACACACCAATAACCTCTCCAGTTTCAGGCTTGCTCTTGGTTACACTCAATGTGATTTTCCCTTTGGATGATGAAGCACTTTTGATGTTTTCCTTAGCAAGTTCTTCCTCATCTCCTCTGCCACCAGCAGGCAATGCAACAGCATTGTCATAACCAGTTGAAGCACCCCTTCCCTTTGGGTCCAAGAAAGATGAACCACGGTACGATGGTACTAAGAACTCCCCACTAAAGCTCTCTGGTTTCCCAGATGCCACCAACTGTTTGACTGTGAAGAGGAATGGCACACGCTCACCACCAGGAAGCTGAACTGTTACAGCAGCATAATCAATCCCATCTTTCTCCTCAAATTTGATAGTGCCATCTGATGAAACTTCAAAGGGTCCCTCAATCTCATCAAGAGTGTAGGTCAAACGAGTCATGAGCTTGGTGTTTTGAAATTCAAGGGGAGAGTTCTTGGTTACACCCTCAGCCTTCACTGTAAATGAAGTTGGCTCAAGACACAACTTCTTAGCATTGTATTTCCCTGGCTTGAAGGAAAATGAGTCTACTCCACCATCAATGGTCGGACACTGGTTTGCAGTTCCAGTTCCCTTAACTTCCATGTAAGTCTTGCTCTGGATTTCATCGTAGGTTAGCCGCTTTGGAACACCTTCTGCACTTGCTCCCTGAAGATTCAACAAGATTCTTAGTTATTCATGTGTGACATCAATCCCCATCCAACAAGATACAATATAAAATCATTAAAGTCCCGTCACTTAATACCTTAAGTTATCATAACACCAAAGCTTCCGTGACCATAGGGTCACAAAATTTGATCCTCATCCCCCCACTTTCTAGTGCAATTAAGTTAGCACATGTTTGTGCATTGTTCTTAGAAAGATATATTATAAAATCACTTAAGGTCTTAACCTTACGGTTGTTTATCAAGAACCATAACAAATTTAAGTAGAAGAACTAGCAAAGACGTCTCAATTTTAACAATTAAACCCTATGCATGAAGCTGTTGGATAAATTAGTATCTCACTCCAGTTTGGTATGGACAATATATTGATGTTTAAGATCGTGAAATAATTATGAAACTATGTTGTTAAACAGAAGATAGCCGGTTTCTTATATTATGATTTATGAAGTGAATGAATGTAAATTCTGATAAAGTTGTAATGTTTTAATTTGAATAAAAAGTAGAATACAATAAAAGAAAGGCAAAGCAAAACATACAGAGACAACGAGAGCTGAGGTGGCAAGAGCCAATCCTGCAATTTTGGTAGCATCGACGCATTTTTGAGCCAAGTCTTTGAGATCAGCATGAAGAGAGCATGTGAGCTTAGATGCAGAGGATTCAAAGCCGAAAACCTTAGAAATGGATTGTGTGGACTTGAGCTGTAGAGTGTTGCTGCGAGCAGTGATGCCAACCTTGGTGGGTTGCATGAAGGTAGCAGCTGCTTGTAGTGAGGCTGCCATTGTTGATGTTTTTTTAATTTCTCTCAAACTAACAACTTTGTAAGTGTTTTTTTTTTTTTTTGTCTTTTTGTGTTGGTGGAGAATTGACAGAGTACAACTATTTGGTGGTTATGGTGTGAGTAAGATTTCCGATAGGATAAGGCTATCTCTTATTGGATGATTCAAGCTAATGTCAATTGTTTCGTTGTTTGCCACGCTGGAAGCTTCTCAATTGGGACAATTATATTCAGTCACAAATAATACTCCCTATTAATAATGATGGGTTTTATTAGTGCTATATAACATAATGTAAGTGTTGTTTCCAACTCTTACATCAAAAGGAAGAGAGAAAGTAGAATGATGAAAGAGAAAGAAAAACATGTGAACTCCACCTCTTTAATGTGTGTGTAGGAAAGTGAAGTTATATTATGTTAAATGATAAACATAAAACCCAATAATGATTGGGGAAAACTTCAAAAAACTCCTATAAGTTTTTTCAATTATCACTTACTTTCTCATAAAATTTTTGAATCATTTACACTCTTATTTAAATTTTTGTTATCACTTATTCCTTGATTTAAAGTTTCTTTATCATTTACCTCCGGAGAGACGGAGGAGGCTAAGTTAGTCGAAAGATGGTTATCGGAAGAGGTAAACGATAAAGAAACTTTAAATCAGGGAGTAAATGATTCAAAATTTTGGAGAGGAGATAAATGATTATAAGAAAAGTTATAGGGGGGTTTTTGAAGTTTTTTCTAAAGATTATATTTATCTCATTTTACATGAGATAATTAAATTCTTTACACAAAAAAATAGGTGAGTCCTAATTCTTTTTTCTCTCTCCACTTATTTATGGTCTCACTTGTAATCTTGTTTCTACAACATAAAATAACTATTTTTCAACAACATAATAAAATTATTTCCCTATTAATAATCACACCCAAGCACAGAAATAGGCCTGCCAATATTTTTATTTTTATTTTAAAAAATAATTAGAGGAATAATCATATTTTCATTGATTCAAAAAACTGGATTATTAATAATATTTTAAAAAACATTAGAGTGATCAAATAATCAAACTTTCCATAAGTAACTGCCTAATTGGTAGCTCAATGTAAATTTCCAATTGCACCAGTCCTAAAATATAAATCTCGAATATTAAAACCTCCAATCCTATGAAATTATAGAAGTTTTCAAGAGGGGAAATTTATATCAAAAGAATGAATTGGTGAACTATTGAGATTAGCAGAGTTTTATACTCTTTGTTGATTATTTGGAAACCAATTCTCGATTCCACCTGACACTATGTAATAAAGGATTCGAGTTTTGTGTATAGGTGTTAACGAGTCAAAATATGCTCAACTTGTCAGGCACAAACAATATTTGTTGATTAACTTTTTGTTCATAATAAAAAAATATCTTTATAATAAGAACTTTTATAAAATTATATTTAGTTAAAATTTTGCTAGGAAAAGAAAAATTAAAAATAAGACATGACATGTCAAAAATCCACAAATGAATGAAACTTACTAAACCATATTTGTGTCAATATTGTATGAGGAAAAAAAAAATTAGAATTAAAGTACCTGAATTTTTTACGGTATGCAGTTCCTTGCATGCGGTTAATCTTCTAGGGATTGCTATTCAACAAATTAATTTTGCTTTCAATATTTTATTATTAAAATAAATTATTATAAGTGTTGGAATCCTTTGCAATAAATAAAAATAGTTGAACTTGAACCTATATTTCTTAATCTGTTTTCACCATATTAATAATTTATTCTTATCTGCGATGATTATTTTTTCATGTATAACTATATAAATTAAATTTTTTACAATTGTTAAAGGAAAAAAATGTTGTCCTTTTAACACAACTTATATTCTTTCACTCTCACAAAGAGACGAGACTGATACCTTTATATTTTTTGTCCTCTCTCTCCTCCTTTATCTACCTCTTTCTCTCACTTAAAATGACACAACTTTAAGTCTTAAGTCCTTTAAAATGATACAGACTTCTTCCATTGTTAAATCTAAAATGATTAAGAAAACACCTAGGAAAAATAATTTTTTGATTTTCAAAAAAAAAAAAGTTTGATAAAGCCTACTCTGTTAAAAAAACATAATTAAAAAATATAACTATTTTTTTGTTTTTAAAATCAAATTTAGAGAATATAATGAGTTGTTTTTATTTGTGTTTTGACTTTTAATTTAAAAATAAAAATAAAAAACCTACAAAATAATTTTAAGAAGAAAAAAAACTAAAGCACAATCAGACTTCTGTTTGCTTGATTCCTTCAAACGCAGCTTTCATGTGTGAAATTTTAACATTTAAAAAATGAATGACTTCAATGAACAAAACCGATGCTAATCCTTTGACAAAATGTTTATAATGACCGCAATGTCATATAGTTGATATCCGTAATATATGCGATACCTTTAAAATATACGTCCCAGTTATTTTTGTTTTAAATTATATGCAAATATCTCGAGTTAAAGTGATTTTACTTTATCCAATCCAAAATAAGTTTTGCAACAGAAACGAGGAAAAATTATTTTTTCGTTTCCCCACCAAAATTATGTTCAATACCAAATTATAACACAAGCATGGTATAAGCAGCTAAAAGTTCATAGACAATTGGCAACACTTGGAAACAAACTGGAATTTGAACTTCAACTAAAACATTTCAGTAAGAAAGTTGGAAGAGAGAAAGAGGGTGGCTCAAAAGTGCTTGAAAAACCATCATCGAAAAAACTCAACAGAAAGATAATGTAACTCTCATCACTGCCACCTTACCGTCTTTCTCTCTCATGTTTGTATGTAAAGAACTAGGACATAAAAAATAAAATAAAATAAAATGATAATAAAATAGGCATTCAGAATGAGTAGGAGGATTGTATTCATCATATGAAACATCATATGAAAATATTGTTAAATATCATCACCATGCCAAGATGCAATCCCCAAAAAAAAAAAAAAAAAAAAAAATTCCAATAACAATCAACAAGCAGAAAATTAACAAGAAGAAGGCATGGACGGAAGGAAGAGTGGAATCCTCTCAGACAAATGCCTCGATTTGTCGTCACAATTGTTAAGAATGGAAAATAGATCGGACTCGTCATCATTGTTTCATCATCACAGAGAAAACCACACCTTAAATCCTTCCTGTTCCTTCATCAAAATTTATTCCAAAACAACAATAATCAAATCGAAAACATAAGACAAAAAAAAATAACAACAACAATGAGAAAAACATGTCTGCCTAAAAGATACGCAAATAGAGAAGCACAGAACCAGAATTTTGGTAGAGAGAAACGGTGGCTACAGCTTCACTTTATAGGTCACCGGTTCCGTTACGAGGCTTTAGGGTTTGTGTTAACATTAGGGCTTAATAGCCTAGACCCACACTAATTGGGCCAAACATTGCCCATGGGCCTAATAAAGAAAATTGTTAGCCTACCATAATTATCTCACGAAATTAATCCGAAGCTTAAAATAATCTGTGGTATTTTAAAATATGAAGAGTTTGGTATTTTAAAATATGAAGAGTTTGGTGGATTTTCTATTTGAGTGGATTTCCTGAAAAAATTTAGTGAGAAGTATAAATAGCATACATCTTTCATAATCTCACCCCTAACCACTATGATTTCTAGAGATTTCTCTATCTTCTTTCCATTGGCGAGTAGACTGGCTCAAAACTAAGTTCCGCCATGGGAGGTTTGTGTCAAAGTTCAAAAATAACAGATTTTTGAACGATTTTTCTCACAAAATAACATAAACAACATCCCAACAATATTCTAATCTAATCCATCTTGAAAATAGCATATTTTTTAGCATTTTTTAGACCTTTTGAAAATTAAAAAAAAAAATCGAGTTATGAGTCGCAATTTTTCTTGGCACAAAAATATGTGATTTTTTTATTAAATCAATTTTCATTTTACATCAATGAAACGAGATCGATTTAAAGAAAAATTGAAATTTTCATAATATGAAAAATATGTTTCATAACAACACATTTATGAACGAAATTTCTTTGCTATAGAAAATAATTTCAAATAACTTTTGTGACAATAGATCACTAAAAACTTGTTTTTCAAAAGCCCCAAAGCAATTTAAAGTTTCAGTGTATCGATTGAATATATATTGAGAAATTTTCTAAACTTGTATGTAATAAAACGCAAAATTTCAGATTCAAATTTTTTTTACAATACTCAATAAAAATATACATATGGTTACAAAAAACTCTCACTACGTAGAACAAAAACGCCAAGGCTCCCAAGATCAATAATAAAAAAATTCAACTGAAATTTTATCATGAACTTTAGGTTCTATATGCAAATTTTTAATTATTTTAATAAATAAAAAAATTGTGGAGGGATAACTGTAATACCCCAGATTATTAATAATAAAATAATAATAATAATATATTATTGTAATAATAAAATTAAAATTTTAGTAATATTGGTATTCAATATTTTTGTAATTAATAAGAATGAGTCGACGATAGTCGAAATAAAAAGAAATTAAAAAGAAGAAAAAAAATAATTGTGCGAAACTCAACTCGTGTCTGAGCCCTAAACTTAAGCTATAAATAGAGGCCTAGCCTAACCCTAGCTAACCTTCAGTATTTCTCTTCTACTCCTCTTCTCCTCTACTTCTCTCTCTTCTTACTTCAAAAGCTTATTTTATTTTATTTTTATATTCTTCTAGTTACCAACCGTTGATCTGCCCCAAATTATTTTTCCTTCTAGAAGTTAGCGAAAACGGAAATCAGGTAATCTTAATCCCTAAAGTTCTCTTATGTTATTAGTGTATATGAAATTTGGAATTCCTAGGTTCCCTTTGGTTATTTTCTTTATATATGAAATTTGGTATATGTAATCCTAATCCCTAGGAAATCGTAGGTTATCTTTTAAATGAAATTTGTTGCATGTAGTCCTTATCTTTAAGTAGTTATATATTTGGTATATGTAATCTTAATCCTTAGGAGATCGTAAGTTATCTTTTAAATGAATTTTGTTGCGTGTAGTCCTTATCTTTAGATAATTATATATGGCTTTAATGTTTCTAAAGTGAATGTAGATAAGTTATCTACACTCTCTCCCAAAATGACGTCGTTTTGGGTTAAAAAATTAAAAAACTATAATGAAAAAGACTATTATAACCCTGAAATAAATTAATTACAAAAATACATTGATTTCTACCTCAAAACGACGTCGTTTAAGGCTCACTGTAGATAAGTTATCTACATTGACTGTAGAAAAAGTGAACCCATTATATATTTGGTATATGTAATCCTAATCCCTAGGTATTCGTAGGTTATTTCTTTTATATGAAATTTGGGTGTAACCCTTATATGTAATCTTAATCCCTAGGTATTTGTAGGTTATCTCTTTTATATGAAATTTGCATGTAATCCTTATATTTAATCCTAATCCTTAAGAGGGTGTTTGGTAGAGGAGAAAAAAAAAATTATCTGGAAATCATGATTCCTGAGAATATAGTGGCAAAGTGAGTTTTCCAGGAATATGACCTAAAAGTTGTTTGGTAGGTCAAAATATTACCTAGAATATTGGGTTAAATTTACTAAATCTATATTTGGTTGATGATAAAATATTACTGATAATATGTGGTCAATTTACGAAATTAACTTCCACAATATGAACCTTTCAAGCACTGATTAAAAATAAAAAATCTGAAGTGGGTTTTGTAAATAATAATTTATATTGAATTGGGAACAGATGAAAATGTTGCAATATGGTCAGATAGTTATGTGAAATGACAGCTTGGAAGCTCTATTTTTGTTCTGGAAAAGGGGCAAAAGAAGAACATTGAACCATGTCGAAAGATTTATGTTTAGCTTTCAAAGAAGCATTGTGTCAATCTTTACAAACACCAAAGAAACCCAAAAACTCAGTCTACGAGCGGCACAAAGACAGAAAATGAAAGAACCTTGAACCAAAGAGCGTTTCAGCTGGGACGAACAAATTGAGCAAATCGATGCACAAAGGAAAGCTAGGAAGGGTATTTTGGTCTGAATAATTATCGAAAATTTTCCCCGTGTGTGAGATTCGTCGAATACCACATATTCAGCGGAATAATTCGTTAGGATTTTGTTTCATTTTTGTTCACATTTAAAAATCCTAGAAAACCAAGATTTTCAGGAAAAAAATTCCACTTCTTTCTACCAAACGTGGAAATACAAGAATGCCAATGTAACTTTCCCATAAATCTAAACTTTTCCCTTATACCAAACACCCCCTAAAGGTTTTTAGGTTAGTTTTGTATGAACATTTTTTAGAGGTTATTTCAATATCATTATATCCAAAATTTTCAAATGTCTCTTTCACCAAATTACCTCTCAGTCTCGCTCGATGATAGAGGTGTTCATCAACCGATCCAAACCGATTCAAACCACGGTGACCGAACCGAAAAATCGAAAACCGAATAAACCGAAAACCTAATAAAAACCGCAAATTTTAATTGGATTGGATCAGTTTTTGAATTGATAGATGAAAACCGATCCAATATATTAATTTTCCTATACCTACTTGAGTCTTTCTTCAATCATAGCCCAAAAATTTCTAAACTCACGACCCATTAACCCATCAACTAAACGCAAGAAAAAACGTAGTCACATCTCATCAACAAAATTTCATCTATGTAGAGCTTCATATCTTATAGTCTAAAAACATAAAAAAATATTATCTGATGCTTTTGTATTTTAAAAAAAAATATTACAAAGCCAATATACACCAAAAATGTTATTTTCACAATAATCATGAAATAAATTTTTGAATTTTTAAAAAATCGAAAACCGATCCAATCCAAACCAAAAAAATTTGGATTGGATCGGTTCGGATTTGAAAAAAAATCCAAACAGAATGGATGATTACATGATCAAACTTAAGGGATTCGATCAGATGATTTTTGCTTCCAAAACCGATCCAATTCAGACTGCGAACATCCTACTCGAGGACACGCACATTTGCCAAGTATGGGTTAAAGAAGGGAGCACACAACCATGACAAATAATAGAAAATAAATTGCCTAAATCCAAAACTTAAATGTCCAATTTAAAGCATTTGAGAACAGAGGAATTTATTTTTTATTAATAGACCCATTCATTAACAAAGAAAAGAATGCAGGGAAATGTTGGTCAGTACAACATGACCAGCCCTACATTATTTTATTAATATCAACCTCCTTAACACTTTCTTGTAACATAAGATGGCACCCGACAATATCAATCTCTATCTATTCATCAAACGAAAATAACTGCTTCAGATCAGCATCCGAGGGAGCTTCAAGAATTTTGAGGATTCCCATTGCCATTGCCTGCAGAAACTAACATTTACAACAACAACAAAAAAGGGGTTAATTCCATCTTATTTACGAATTGGTAACTACATAATAAAAAAGCCAATTCATCATAAGCCATTTTATTACACTTAGGCACTTAGCGTTTTTGTTAGTCAAGGTTAAATGTCATCACGATTTTTTAAACTAATACAGTTTTTTTTTTTTTCTTTTTTGAATCTTTCACTAAAATCAAATCAAAAAAGTTTTACCTTGGGAGTTGTTATTGGATTGCGTTGGTTGCTCAGTGGCGATAGCCGTGCGCTGGGAGGGAATGACAACGCCAGGCCAGGAGCGGCACATGCAGTGCTTTCCCTCATCAATGCTTCCATAGAGAGTGGTCAAGTGCTTACCACATCCCCCCCATGTATACTTCCCACAGGTTTTGCAGTCCACCCTATAACACATGTTTTTCCAACTCTTCAACCTTAAGATTGAGTAACTTGGATGCTGCCTAACGAGTACGAGTATGACACAACCAAGGATTTTATAACAGGTATATTCATATCATTGCTACCACTTCGTTAACATCAACCTTTTCTTTGTTTATTTTGTCTCTTATGCCACCCACTCGCAGAGCAAGGTCACAATTGGAGATAACGCCTTGCATAGTTATTTGGTTATTCCATTATTCCATTCTCGAGATTCAATTTAGAGCCCGTTTGTTTCGGCTTTTAAAGAAAGTAATTTTTATCTCTTTTTTATTTTAGAAGTGTTTTTTATTATAGTTAAAGTTATTTATATTTTTATAAAAATATTTAATTTTTGAAAAAAATTATTTGGCTTTTGACTTTTGCTTTTCTTAGAAGTTAAAATTTTTAGATTATAGAAAAAGTTAATTTTTGACTTTTTTGTGACTTCTGCTTTTTTTAAAAGCAGACATCCAAACGAACTAAAAATGAGAAGTGCTTTTTTTCTTAAAAAAAACAGCTTTTGAAAGAAAAAAAACTCATCCAAACGCGCCCTTAGTATCCACCAATGTATTCAAAATCGATTTTTTTTTTTTTTTTTATAATAAAGAGGGGCAAAAGCCCCAAACAAAACAAAAATTACACGACGCGAGAACTTAAAAGATCTACAGAAGCATCCTGAAGAAGGAGCTTTAACAAAGGAGAAGGAGGAGAATGATAAACAATAAGATTATTATCATTCTCAAAATGCCTAGAAGCAAACCAGTGAGCACATCTGTTATTTTCTCGAAAGGTGTGTATCCACCAATGTATTCAAAATTGACTTTTTACGTAAAAACAAAATGGGTAGTAGAAACGTAATTCATTGAAACGAGATGAAATATAAAATTTTTACTACTTAAGATCAAGATACGAAATTATATATATATATATATATATATGCCTGTAAAAAAAATTCACATAAATCACTACTCAAAATTTAATAAATAATTTCATATTTAAAAGATATAAGTCCCATAACTATATAAGATATAAGTCCAAAAACATTAAAAAAGAAAATTGAATTTAAAAAAATAGCATTTCTACCATTTTTACATTTCTACACAGCGTTTTTACTCATTTTTACGAAGGACCATTTCTACTTATGTTTTAACACGTTTTTACCCTGCATTTCTGCCATTTTTACGTTTTTAAACTAATTTTTGACAACGATACCCACTCTTACCTCCCTTTCAAACCAACATCGAGAAGATATTGCATTGGACGATTGCCACGTACCTAGGTATAAACGTTAGAGAAAAACATCACGCTCACAAGTTTCTGTCCTTGAGGTCTCTTACATTGACTGCAAGTAAATGCTCGAACTCTACACATTATCACTTCAAGTCACAGTCCATGTCCTTTAAGCTCTTTGTTTCTCTATCTTGAATGTTTTCCGTAGATAAGGTGAAAGAACATAGCGGAACGTGTTTTAACACAAGTGTATAATTGATAGAGAAATTAAAGGGGAATAATTTCATAAAACAAAACTAACAGAGAACAGTCTGTTATTTATCAGAACATAACCAAAACAATTCGTTAGCAAAGATGTTAAGTATCCAAGAAATAACGTTAACTTTTACAAAAACATACATTATATTAGATCGCAAGGGGTGGAAAATCCCATGCAAACACCGTAACACTTTCATCCGGTTTCTTCATTTGGGAAAGAGACCACCCACGTCAACCACAAATTTAGCTTTGATCACATTAAATGACTGTATGTCAAAAATAAAAATAAAAAAGAAACTACGTTCTTCCCAAGGGCAGAGCCAAGAATTATCCAGAGGGTCAATGTTAATTTCTTTTATAAAGGGTGCAAAACATACATTTGCATGATTTCTTTTCCCAAATGATCAAGAGATGTAATTGTTACAATGTCTGGGAGGCTGTCCTCCGCTCCTCTTGACTCCACTCATGGTTCTCTCAATATATAAATGGTAAATAAATTGGAAAAGAATCTTATCATGTGTTATTACTCATGACTAAAACAGTTATTTTATTCCCATTCTGGATTTAATAACCTGATAGAAATTACACAAAAGAAAACTCACTCCAATTTCCAAAAAAAAAAAAATTCACTCCCAAATAAACCTGACATTAAAGACACGTTGTGTTAGCCCATAAAGATTGCCTCAATTGATAAGATAAAATCAAATGATTTCACCTTTCGGTCTTGGGTTCAAATCCACATTTGAACGAGACATATCTCCCCCCTAAACTTCTTTGTGTCAGACCAAGAAAAAAATGCCTCAACATCTAATCAAAACTATATATTCAAACCTATAATCAGCGCCAAACCTTAAAGGTACATGCATCCGACAATTAACAGTGTTTAGCAGAATGGATGCACATTTCACGGTTTTTTGTAGGCATAACATTGATGCATTTTGAAACTTGTGACAAGAAAAAGTAGCTGCACATAAACCTACAGAAAGGAGAATATATGGCATAACACTATTACCCTGAAAACAGTCTACCATGGAACATCCGAGAAATTATCCTATCCATACCCCAAAATGTATGGCATTCAAAGTTCGAGCTAAATACTCCTTCAAAAAGCATCAAGACCTAGATACATCAACATGCATTGTCATCACCTTTTTCTTCGGTTGATTCTATCGCTGGTTTCTTTGGTGTGCTTGCTTCTGCCGCACTGGCATTTGATGCTCGTTTAACTCCTCTTCCTACCACACCAAGGTGTGTGACTCCAGTAGTTCCATTGGTGTGGGCAGTGGAAACAGTTGGAGAGTCAAAACCTCCACTGCTGCTGGCAGTAGCCAACTGTGAGGAGCTCACTTTTCCAAGAGATAACTCCTTCCCACTGCCTGCCTTGGCAGCTGCTATTCCTAGGATCTCAGAGAGAATTGATGTTGGATTCACGACTAACTGTTGCAGATCTTCAAGCTGCAATTCCATAAATTCCCATTTATATCAAAATAACAACATAACACAAACAGATATCTTAAAAAAGTTTATCAAGTCTACCTTCTTTTCCAGCTCACTTGAGAGACCTGTGAGGGTAGCAATCTCAGCTTGTTTATCCACAATTGAGTTATTAGACTGAGATATAGGGCATGTTTGTACATCTTGATCTAACTCAGAAGCAGATGTCAAATCTGAATAACCCTTTACTTCATTTGTGAGACGATGTAATTGTGCCTTACAAACACAAATAGCCTTCTGGCAATAAGCAATTGCTTCTTGAGGCTTAGAACCAACCTCTAAACACAAGCATATACGGAAGTTTCTTAATTCATGAGTTAAGGTTATCTAGCAGTGGATGAGAACATAATTGGTCATCCTAAATTGCAGACTCTGTTAATCAGTGAATTCAGTAATTCAAACCAGCCATCACAGTCCACACAAAGCAGTAAAACCACACATCTAGATAAGAATTATAACAAGGATACAAGTCAGCAATTTTTCTATCATCTGGTTCAACCAGCTGTTCTAAGATGGACAGTGCCTTCTGGTAGTCAGAGAGCGAAGTTTCAAAATCCTCTGAATAGAAAAGAGCCAAGAAATAATACAGCTTTTAGTATAATCTTATCCCCCTTTTTGTGTTTGAAAGAAAGTATCAGTCAAATTTAAAATAAACATAAGAGTATGAAAAGACCTCTTTCCAATGCAACATCTGCCAAGGCTGATAATATGTCCACTTGTTCCATTGTATTGCCAGATTGCTTTTCAACAATGGCTCTAGCAATATCCAGCATTTTCCATGCCAGGTCCAGGTCAGACTCGTCCTCATCAGCTTCTGCCAAGTCTTCAGCATCACTATCTTCATCTTCTTCTTCCTGGTCATTCTTAGTGGTCTCTGTTTCGTATTTCAAACAACACAACTAATAATGAGAAACTGTTTCCCCTGCAGACTACAACTTCTGTAACTGTGAAATCATAGAATTTAACCAGAATAGTGAATAATAACATAATGCAAATCATATACAGTAATGATTGTATGCTAGCTTTACTAATGTTAATAACGAAATCATAGAATTTAACCAGAATAGTGAATACCAACATAATGCACTTCATATACAATACCGGTTGTATGCTAGCTTCACTAATTTGGTAACTATGGTTGGTATTGTGACACAAAGTGTTACTCCCAACAATTTGAGGTTTTATTACATATCTGTATTCACAAGTTTCCTGAACAATATGTTCATTAAACATGAGCTTTTTTATCCCACTACCTTAGTCCATAGCAGATGACAATTCATTTTGAATCTCACCATGGGTATGCATGTACATTTGTCAAAGAGAAGGAGAAAGAGATCTGATTAGTGCATAAACGGATTATAACATTTTTGTTTTATTTTTTTGAGTAAGCATTATATAGATCAAGGTAGCTCACGTTTGCAGACACAAAGAATGTTCTACTAACCCTGAATAAAAGGTTAATCCATATTTTTTTCTTTTTTACAACAAAACACTCCATTATTTGCAATGACTGGTGAGAAGTGCAGAATAATGCAGATTACGGCAGCACATTCAAAATAAAACATGTTTTCTAAGCCAACCTTGGCAAAGTGTACTCATTCTTTGCGAAACAAGTTCAAATTTACAAGACATATATCACCACACAAAGAGGCATTGCTGGAACACTGGCCAAATCGAACAAGAAATTATGAACAAAAGTTAAAGCTACTAAACAAAAAACACTAGAAGCAACATACTGACCATCATCCACTGCTGCACCATGGTCATTTGAAGTCACATCCTGCTCAACATTACTTGAGAAAGATGCAGTGGAAGATTCAGCATTCAAAGAACTCTTCACAGACCCATCTTTAGCAGAGCCATGTTGTGATCCATCCTCCTTCTTGGGCACATCTGCCAATGGATCAGCTTCTTCCTGAGCCTTGTATAATAGTGCACACCCATATTTGTAGTATGTATGGACACACTCAGGAGCAAGTTCACCGAAATGAGCAGTCCTATTTTGATTAAAAATTTCTTTCAGAACATTGTAAATACTAAATAGAGCAAAATGAGGCTCAGAAATTTTCTGTAGACATTCTTGGGTGCATATATATTCAGTTTGTACATGGGAGTATGGGACCAATAAGAGCATCAAGTTGGTTTGACAAAATCTACTGATGGAACTCAAATCTGGAAACATCAAATTAGCTATCATTTCCTAGTGGTCCAGTGCATAAACTACAAAATACATCGTGTCTACCCAAGAGATTTCCAAGATCTATGCTGACTATGCATAGTGGGCAACTTGACATAAAAATGCATACAATTTATTGACATTTTTTGAAGATCAAAAGACAATATGATTTTATTTCATCTATTAAAATTCTTGAATGTTGATTATGCAGAGTTTAACAACCCGCACTGAATAACTGTATTCTCCTTTTGATTATTGAGCATATACGCTGCTGAGAAAAGACGTCTCTGACCAAGCAGCAATGCAAGTTAACCATTCCTAGCACAGAATATGCGAAATGACGACCAGTCGAGATAAATTCTTGAGCATGCATCCATTCTATGCATAGCCTAATAGCGAGAACGTGAACTTCTAAGCGAGAATTTCTCCATCTTATTTCTTAATCTTTTTCCTCTAAGATCAAATTCCATGTAAGGGGAACTACGAAAACAGTAAAACGGACAAAATATTCTACAATAACATTGTGCAAAAACGAAAGAGAAGCATTTCCATGAATAATCTCGTTTCAGAAGTTAATTGCACGAAGAAAAAAAAAATGGAACCTGATCTCGAGAGCACGGCTAAAGTTATCAGCTGCCTCTCCGAAATCGTTCTCTTTCATGGCCTTGTTTCCCTTATCCATCAGCTCATCCGCCAAGTCCAGAGACGCCAGACCAGAAGTTTCTGCGTTGGATATCGACTCAGCGCCGCTGCGCGCGGCGGAATCCAAGGTTGCATCGACAAAGGTTCCGCTTGTGTCGTGCTCACCAGGGTTTAGGGTTCCGTCGACGGCGACAGCTTGCTCAGGTTGAGGCACTGTGACGGAAGTTTCAGATGCAGGAGCTTCTTCCGCCATTATCGTCTTCGGCGAATTTCGCTTCAGCAAAGAGAAAGAGAGAAGAGGGAAGTTTTCTTCAATTCACAGGACAAGGGTTTGGGCGTTTGGGTTTTGACGTTTTCGATTCTGGCGCAAAAAAATGTTAAAATGAAAATACAAACCCGAAACCGAATGGGCCAATTTACCCGCACCGTTACCTGTATTGTTTTGTACACGTGTCAAGCTAATAACAGCTAATTAATGAAGGGGTGTTATCGTAATTAAATACACTTGTTAAAGTTTGCTGAAGCCAGTGGCCACACGTAGAGGATCAGAACCTGAGCCATGGTTTGTGCAATCTCCTCACAGTTCTCAACTCTCTCATTTCGCCGTCACGGTGTGCGCAATGCGGCGCCGTCTCCGTGCAAGCCGAACGCTATCAAACCTGCAAAGGAATTCCCTAGCGCCGGGAGGAGACAGATGCTGTTCTTTCTGACGGCGTCTACGGCGTTGACGGTGAGGGAAGCGGCATCCGTGGCACAGGATATTCCCCTGTTCGGGATACGGAAGAGTCTGAAGAAAGTTGAGGAAGAAGCTGAGGAGATTGTGAAGGAGGGCTTTGAAGCCGCGGACAAGGGGCTGGAAGCGGCGGAGAAGGGAATAGAGACGGCAGAGAGGGAGGTATCGTCTGCAGTGAGTTTTGGGGGTTTGGCGCAGGCGGGAGTGGTTGGTGGAGCAGAGGCTTTGGGCGTTTTGATTGCAACGGCGGTGGTCAACGGTATTTTGGGGCCTGAAGCTCAAAAGTCATAACTCATGACTAATGTAATGTCCAGTACATTATTGTCCATGCATATCATCATCTTCATCACCATTCAATTGGATATATATGTGTGAAAAATTATCCTGTCACTCTGTAAGTCTGTAACGTTGTGCCTTCTTTATGTGTTTAGCTTTGCAGCTGTGTCATCATATCATGTGAAATTGTGAATGAATCAGGTAACTATTCCAATCGGCTTGTTCTTATGTCCAGAAACTAATTTCGTTCTTACCAGACATTTATTGTTGTCCGATTAGGGTTAGTCCTAGGTTTGACTTTTGTTACTACTCCTGCTATAACATTTGCTTTTTCCAATCTATTTGTTTATGAAAGTTGTAGGGTGACGATGATTTTACATCGGTGTAACTTATATTATTAATCTTGTCCGTTAATTTCATTTATATCTAATGGCTCAATGGTCAAGATTGAGTGTATGACTTCTAACTCTTACACCTGTCCCAAAGTTTTAAGGATTAGAAAAAAAAATTAAAGAGTAAATATTATTTTTGATCCTCAGCAAATTTCACGATGCTCGCTTTATTCCCTAGCAAATAAAAAGGTCCATCGTGGTGTCTAAGAAATTCAAAATGAACTCATTTTAGTTCTTTCAGAGACTAATATGGATCTTTTTTGAATTTGTAAGGTACCATAATTTCAACTAAATGGGTCCATTTTGAATTTCTTAGGAATCACGATAAGCCTTTTTATTTGCTAGGTACTAAAACGAGTATCGTGAAATTTGCTGAGGAAAAAAAAAGGTATTTAATCAAAATTAATAAAAGAGTTTGATTACCTATATATTGTTTACTGTGTAGGATATCAAGTTACTATCACTTTAATTATGTTGAATTCCACTTTAACAATTTATAATGAATTTTTCGAAATATATAATTATATTAGAATAGTAATAAGTTTATAGTAAAAAAATATGACAGTAAGAATATCCTTACCCATTGTTTACAACTTGAACAAAATATTAAAGTTTACAAAATAATTGAATATTCGTAAACTCTAAATACTAACATTAATAAAACAAGTTAAACTTATTATTTATAATCTATACAAAAAAAAAACTTATTATTTATAAATTTATAAAGGGAAAAAAAATTGAATTCAGTATAAGATTTAAAAGTCTTATTTTTCTTTTCAACCATTGATCTTTGAATGTAGGCTTACTACCTTGTGTACGTGGTATTGAGAAACCAACTATTAGGATTAGAGATTAAGACTTTTAAATCTTACATCGGCATCAAAATATCTCTCCTCATTTATAAAATAAAATACATAATTTTTAAGGATTTTATAATAAATGTTTTGGTAGTTTGTAAAATAATTTTTAAGGACACTAACTTTCGTTTTATCATATTTATTTTTCTTGAAAAAGTCACTCACTTTTGTTAGTAAAAACACACAATCAAATAAGAATTTAGTTGAGTCGAGAAAAACTTCAATGCATTGGAAGCATCAAATTTGGTGTTTCCTTTCATAAAATAGGAAAAAAAAAATTGCCTTTTGACCCATATTTTTTTTATGTTTTTATTTAAGTCTTAAAAAAAATTCTATTAAATTCAGTACTTCCGGTACATTAAAGTTTTTCTCCTTGAAATCCATCATCAATTGCATAAAATTGCCTTTTTATGTGTCTGTAGAAAATAAATTTATCTTCTACAACATGAGAAACAATAAACACATTAATTATATCTACAAATAACGTATTGATTGATTTGACTTTACTTGTGCGAAATAGAAGCCCGAAACCAAAGAAAGGCTTAATAAGCCCAAAAAATAATTGTTTAGAAAAAAGAAAAACATGTCCATCTCGCGTAACGTAAGGATCTCGCAATCCCATGACACATGCAACTAGTTGTTCAAACAATTGGACTAAATGATATAAGATTTTCAAAACAACTTGATCTCTACATGAACTAACTCAAGGATAGTACCTTCCTAACCACATGCACCTCGCTCACAACGTAGCCTATGGAAGCTAACATTCTCTACAAATAAGAATAAGCACCACCATAATAAGACGACACAAACAAGACATCAATCTACTACAAATACTGAGGCATTGAACCTGGGTAGGATTATCTTCCCATCAATAATTGAACACGTTGAATCCTTACTAACTTAAGCACCAGAGTCTTGCAGATATCCCTAGTCTCCTCAAATCACTCCAAAGAACTGGTATTAGCTCCATTATCTCGCAGATAGCACCTCAACCCAAGCATTCAACAACAATAGCAGGTTTAATTGTGTGTGATCTAACCCAATAATTATTGGACTGATCACTGACTGAGTATTCTTAGTCCGATAAGTTAAAAATAAGTATTCAAACACATATATATTTAGTTTTTGTTTCTCATATTATAGGAGATAATTTTATTTCCTACAAGTATGGAGACCCACGCATTTTTATAATGTGTGAGAAATAAAATTATCTCGCACATGATAAACATTAATCATATAATTTTTTTCTTCTATAATATAAGAAACTTTATTTTCGTTACAGGTCAATATTTTATTGTTCAAAACATAAAGTAAATAATTGAATGGTTCGATTTTAAGTTTTTAACCACGCAACTCTCGTGGATGAAACTGTCTATTAATATAGGGAGACGGTTATACTTACCACCAGGTAAGTTTTCTACCCTTACAACCAATCTCATCACGGTTAAATTTGAATTAAATATAACTGTTCATAATTATCCTTTATAATCCTAATTTTTACTCTCTCATTCCCTCCCTCTCTAGGTTTGGTATCTGCAAACCTCTCTCTAAGTTTGGGAATCACCTCTCTTCATCGTTATAGCACTTTGATCTTTAGTTCCAGCAAAAATATCTCACAAAAGCAAATAATCAAACATCTGAACTCATTCTTTCCATTCTTTTTTTTTTTTGCAACAGGTGCAAACCATTAACAGGTGCAAACCATTAACAGGTGCAAACAATTAATAAAACTGGAAATCGATCATTGATCTTTGAATCGATTCTTTTTCATTTCGATCCATGTTTGGCTGAATTAATGGTATCAGAGTGATAAAAGTTAAATTAAATTCATGATAAAAGTTAATCGGTTCTTGGATAGTGTTTTCGATCCATTCTTTTTCCTTTAAAGTTACACTATTCAAACCTCGACAGAATCAATCGGTTCTTTTTCATTTCGATTTAGGATCCATGATAAAAGTTAAATTAAATTCAATACTTTGCATTTCGATCTCTTTTTCTGACTCTTTCCATAGAATCGGTTCCTTAATTTTTCGTTTGATCCATGTTTGATATTTGAATGATAGTGACTCTGAATGATAATGATAATAGGAACTCACCTTCAATTTCAATTTCAATTTCTATAGAGCGCTGCAAAGAGAAGAATTTGAAGAGAGATGTGCATATACCAAATCTAGAGAGAGAAAGAGGGAATGTGAGAGTAAAAATTAGGATTATAATAGATAATTATGAACCATTAGATTTAATTCAAATCTAACGGTGATAAGATTGGTTGTAAGGGTGGTAAACTTATCTGGTGGTAAGTATAACCGTCCCCTTAATATAGTTATTTAAATTTAAAAAGTAATTGGAATGATTTTAAAATTGGTTGTGACGGTTACACATGAGGTCTATGTACTTTTTCTATTAAATAACTGTTAATATAAGTTTTCCCTTTCAATCTTTGATAACAACACTGCTTACTAATAATAAGTATAGCTTAAACGGCTTCTCTTTCTATTCAATTTTTTGGAAATTTAAGGCAACTATGCAAAAATAAAATGATAACTTTAGTTGTGAAAATTAATATGAAAAATAAGTAATACATTTTACTGAATTACTAATTTAAAAAAATTAACATTGAGAATGAAAAGAAAGTAAATTAATATTAATATTGATTTTTATCAACACGTAAGAACAAAGAGTTTTATTTTGTTTTATTTTTTTGTCATTCTTCCAGTATTCTCACAATTTTTAAGTAGAAGACTAGGTTTATGTTGGTAAAAAAATGATTTTAACAAAATGGTATTTCTTTAGATTCTTTTAAGAAGTTAAAAAAATTGTCTATAAAAAAAAAATCCATAGACGGATAGAGAGGGTGAACAAGAGTATTAATTTAAATTGATACAGAATTTATTTAATTAATTTTATACCAAAGCGAGATAGAGAGGGTAAAAAACAAAAAATCTTATTAGCGGTTGCAATAAGCTGAGAAGAGAGCAGCGGTTGCTTGGTACACGATAGCAGAGGATGGCTCGCCTCTCTTCAAACCCCATCGGTTTCCATAGATTCCGACCCTTCATACGAATTCCTCAAACCCCGCAATTCATTGCAAATCCTAACATCAACACTCGCAAATTCCAGACCTTGTTTTCCCAAACAAATCCAAACCTCGACGAAAATGATACCTCAACTACGGTAAATTTCCCTTTTTTGCTTTCTAATCTTAGCTCTTACGATAACAAAAACATTCGACGAGGTTGTTTGTTTTGTATCTTAACTACCTTAACCTCTTGTCTCAGTCTCAGCAAGAAAAATTGGTGGTTGAGCCTAGCACGGTCAATGGTCAGACCAGTAAGGCAACAAGTTCACCCCCTCAATTCCCAAGCAAAGATATCAACAAGAAAATCGCAGTTGTTTCTACCTTAGCAGCTTTGGGACTTTTCTTATCTACAAGATTGGATTTTGGTGTTTCTTTGAAGGATCTCTCTTCCATTGCATTGCCTTACGAAGAGGTTTCTTTTCCTTGCTTACCCCTTTCACTATTTCTCTTCTTTCTTGCTCCCCACACACCCACACATGGATAATTAGGTTATGCCCTAAACACAAGTAGTTATGTTCCAACAAAATAAAAATAAAAAAGAGCCATTCTTTGAACTTGCTATGTTAATTACTGTGTTAGTGCTCACCAAGTTTTTTAGTTTCATTTGCGGTTGTTACATTACATCATATCTGCTCCATATTTTCTCATTATAGTAATTGTACTTTGGTGTTGGATGTTCCAGGCTCTCTCGAATGGAAAGCCTACTGTAGTGGAGTTTTATGCAGATTGGTGTGAGGTATGTCGAGAATTAGCTCCTGATGTCTACAAAGTAGAGCAGCAGTACAAGTAATCACTTCTATTCCTCACATGTTTCCTTGTGTTCTGGGAAATATCACCACTTAAAATGGATCTGCTTGTGACTTTTGGTGTGTACAATCTTAACACCATTTACTTCTCGAAACAGGGATCGAGTGAATTTTGTAATGTTGAATGTTGATAACACAAAATGGGAGCAAGAGCTTGATGAGTTTGGTGTGGAGGGTATTCCACACTTTGCATTCCTTGATAAAGAAGGGAATGAGGAGGGCAACGTAGTAGGTAGGCTTCCAAGTAAGTTCCTGCTTGAAAATGTGGATGCCCTTGCTCGTGGAGAAGCATCTGTGCCTCATGCTCGTGTTGTAGGCCAATATTCCAGTGCTGAAGCAAGGAAGGTGCATCAAGTTGTTGATCCAAGAAGTCATGGTTAGATGACAGCATAAAGTGCCTTCTTTTACTATTTTATAGTAACTCGTTTGATTTGTCTGTGAGAAACATCTGAAGAGACAAACAACTCATCTGCAAAATTTCTATGTTCTATCTTCCTTATGGTTGGACATTCATCTAGTTATAGGTGCCAATGTCTTCAGGTTCAGCTATTTTAAAATGACCTTTCAGAACATAGCTGAAACTTTTGATGTATATGCTGTTTCAAAACATCATCCGCTTAATAGAAACAATCTTTCTTTCTTTCTTTAAATATGAAACGAGAAAACCTTTGGAACATAGCTGTACCTACATTTTGCCTAATAGGGAAAGTTTTTGGTATTTAGTGGCAAAAATAAAGAAAAAACAAGAATTTAAATGGAAAAATAATTTCTTTATTTAGAAAAAAGACGTACCCTAACGGGTACATCCGATGTATTCAAGAAATTTACCAGAGCTAGGCTTACTGACAAAACCAAAGACTAAACCGAAGCAGCGTCTTATGGCGTCCAGTGCTACCTTTACTAAGGCATAACGCAGTTTACTGAGATGCCAAAAGCCCTGTAATTTTGCGAATTTACATCTTCAGTTGCACTGGCTAAAGAGACCATTACAGCCTATAGGTTTTGATTATTTCCAGCCATAATTATACACAGTAAATATTCGTAGGTTCCATTCTGTCTGCACAGTGAATTCTGTGTATTGATTACTGATGATTTATGCATATAAGCTATGGTAGTTGTTAGTAAAGCAGAATCCTAATTACAACAATACACAAAAAAAAAAGCTATAGCAATAACTGCGAAAGAGAAAGAAAAACTGTTAAATGCCTTTATTATTCACATTGCTGGAGGCTTTCCACCCAAAGCAAGTGTATGTCACCGAACGACATTTCCCAACAAGCTGCTTGTTGAAGGTGAGCTATGTCCACTTAACCAAGGATCCTGCACTGATACAGGAGAGCTATCCTTGACCTCCATAGAATCCAAAAAGATCTCGGCCTTATCTGGAACTATCAATCTCTCACTCCCTTGCCCTGCTCTCTTAACCTTGATACCACTCAGTGACTTCTCACTTCCGTTGCGAGGCGATGAACTTGCAGATCCAACTGGAGAAGCCATTAAAGTTTCCTCCATAGTTGCCCATCCACTGCGCCTGATGTGTTCTAGCTCTTCTGCCACTTCCATCATAGTAGGCCTCATGTCACTATGAAAAGCAAGGCATCTAAATGCAAGCTCAGCCAACTTATGAATAGAATATAGAGTCCAAGCATCTCTATTTGGTTCAAGGAAGGGATCTATGATCTCATCTACAGAACCCCTCCTAATCCTATCAACAGCAAGTGCAGCTAAATTAACCTCACTCTGAGGTCGAGAAAAATCAACCACTTTCTGGGCAGTTATTATCTCTACCAAAACCACTCCAAAACTGTAGACATCACTTTTATCAGAAAGATGGAAGTTCTGGTGGTATTGGGGATCAACATAACCCGGAGTCCCTTGTGGGGCTGTTGAGATATGTGATGTTTCGGTCATGCCAAGCCTAGAAAGACCAAAATCAGCTACTTTGGATTTGAAGCTATAATCCAATAGTATATTACTGGATTTTATGTCTCTATGGTAAATTGGGGGATTAATTGCAGAGTGGAGATATGCTATGGCATTAGCAGTTTCAGTAGCAATGGTAAGTCTTATAGTCCATGGTAGACCTTTACCCCTCTCTCTTTGCAAATGCTGAGATAGCGTTCCATTTGGCATATATTCATAAACAAGGATCTGCTCTCCCTCCTCTATGCAGCAACCTAGGAGGCGAACTAAATTTTGGTGACTCACCGAAGAAAGGAGCTTGATCTCATTCATTACCTGGTCAACACTGTTGTCTCTATACCTTAACTTCTTTATAGCAACCCATTCATCATTGTGAAGTTTTCCAGAATAAACTGTACCAAATGCCCCGGTTCCCAGCCTCAACTTCTCAGAGAAAGAATTTGTGGCTCTTTCTATTTCTTTGTAAGGGTAGAAAGGTACACTAGAGTTGCCTGCAGCTTCACGTAATAGGCGCTTTACTCTCGTATGTTTTCTCAACCAAGTAGAACGGCGCCTCACACAGTAGCATAGAAGAAACAAAGCAGCCACGACCAAAGCTCCAGTTACGATCACTGTAAGTGTGAAAAATCATATAGCATTAATCCAAATTCTTCATCACAAAATTTCAGAAGTACATTTTTCTATGCACTTTTGTATCAGGATCATGGGGAAACATGCATTCAATGATATTATGTATAATAACACATTAACAAAGATTCTCGTACGTAACAAATCTATGCAATCTGATATGTATAGGATCCTATATTGGCATAAGTTAGTCCGAAAAGAAGAGTAGGCGATACAGATGTAAGGTTATACCTCCAACAATAACACCGATTTCGGTTGCTTTCCCACATCCCCCAGACGTTAGTGTTGAAGCACTGCAACTTGGAACTGATTGCAAGGCAATTATAGAGAAAGAATTAGAAGAGTGACAATATTTTGAAAAGGAAAGCCATGTCTACAAGTAAATAAAGATATATTATTTCTTCCTTTACTATTTAAGAAAAAAAAAATGTTTACACTATGTCTATCACAACTATGTAATTTTCGTGAGATGTACTGTTTTAACAGTCCACATTTATACAATCCATCAAATTATTTTAAAAATAAAATAAAATGAAAACTCTTCAATAGATAGTGAGAATTTCTAATAAATCAAAGAAAAACCTCGAACGGTGAGCACTGCCCGTGACAATGTCACTAGGATGTTGTATTGGCTATATAATCCATTGACTATTTTACACATTATATATTCTTACTGATGGAACACACACAAAATATTAATAACCATTCGATGATTAATAGCTATACTCAACCAACCGATTTGGATGACCTGGATATGCAGCATCTGAAATGTTCCTTGTTGATTGAGTCAAAAAGAACTTAACTCAATTACATAACTTACTACAATTAACGTGGCACAGCAACAACTGTTTCACGTTTGTTTCTTCTTTTTGTCATTTCCTAAATTTTAATTCCTCTCATCACCTATCTCTCTTCTTTGACCACAACGAATACAGAAAGAAATATTCAAATCCATCCCACCACACATGTGCAGCCACAACGTGTTGACTTTTGATTTTTTAAGGATTCTTTCTTTGATTAAGTTACCATTCAAAACAAGATCGAAAACCAAAAACAAAACAAAAAATGAAAACAAGAACATACCCATTTCCCATTAAAATGAATTCATCAGAAGGAACATAAAAATCAGTACGCATAAAATTTAAACAGGAACAAAAAAAAAAAGCAGTTGCTTTACTGCAACATCTCTTCAAATTTAAGGAGCCTTAAGAGGGCCCTCATGGTCTACAAAGTCTTCAAGAATCAAAATAACGAGCCTTTTGCTTCTCACAGAGGAAAAGTTGATAAGCCTCATTCACCCCTTAATAAAGTACAAACTGACCTTTAGACCATTCCCAAACTTTTCAATTAAAACCCAGTCTTAAATTCGAATCTTTCATGTCATTTTTCAAGACTATAATTCTGCACATAACGAAATTTTTAAGTCCTGTGCACAGATGTAAGACTCTGAAAAATTCATATACTAGGCTCCTAGCAAGTTGAACAAGAGCATCCTTTTCTACGAGATAGAATTGAGGTGTCGCTACATGGTTGGCCAGCACATAAAGCCGTAACCAGGTGTTACATTCCCAATTACCCCGTTAAAAAACCATTATAAATTTATAATTATTCCATGAACAAAGAATAAAAGTATAATAATCAAAGAAATGACGTTTTGTGAAGAATCGATAAAGTATGATAAACAAAATTTTAATCTGAACTAACCTCGCCGGCAACCAGTGCCACCGGTGAAGCCGTCTCCCCTGAAACCATCGTCACACTGGCACCGGAACCCGGAGCTCCGTCCTCGGAGAAGAACCGGTGTGCAGGTAGCGTTGGAAGAACATTGGCACGGCCCTTGAAGCCACCATTCCAACTCAACCACCTGAAACTGTAATGAAATATCTTTGCTCTGTCCAATAGCAACTGCTGAGAACATGTAGTTGCAACCAGTTCGGTTCAATTCATCGTATGTCACAACATCCAACGTTTGATTACGTGGCTGCCGCGAAAAGCAACTGATATTACCACTTCTGCTATCGCAGTTTCCAAGCTCAATCTGGCTCCCCATAAAAGTGGAGGTAGGAATAACGCAGCCATCAAGTGGAGCTGCACAATCTTGCACCAGAAAGCTATTGTTCCATGTGGGAGCAAAGTTGTCACCGAAAAGAGGGATCATCGAATGCATGCTACGGTTGCATTTCGCAGGGAGATTGATGAATATACTGTTACTGGTTACGTTCTGGACCAGAAAACCACCTAATTGGACTTGGTTGTTGTTACAGTTTAGTTGAACTCCACAACCTTCAGAGAAGCCTAAAGGGTACTGCAGGGACTTTCCTCCGCAACGGCTCTGGCATGTTTCGAAGTTTTGTGCTCTTGTTGTTGTCCACGCCATGAAGATTGTGAGCACGATAGCGAAATTTGTCCGGTGATGAAGAAACATTTTTGGAACAGGGTAATCAATATCATCACCCTTCTGCAACCAAAAAAGTAAAGCTGAGTTGTTACCTTTTAGCTTTTGAGAAATTAGAAAAATCATACACAGTAATGTTTTGTGGAGCATCAGATGATGGATTGAATGAGAAATTAAAGCTTGTGATAGATGCCGTTGGGTAGCCATCTATCTTAATAAATGCTCACTCATAGAAAAGAACCAGTAACAATAAAGTTTTGATTTTGTTTTCAATGGAAAAGGATTTTTTTAAAAGATAAAAATAAAATAAAAATTGAAAACTTGAAAGTAATTGTTGCGATTGTGAGCCATAAATATGCATACCTTCAAGGCTCTGCAAAGGTTGAAATTAATGGCTGTAGCCTGTAGCAGTTGGAGAAGTAATTCACCACACCACACCACACCGCTCGAGGATCGAGTTTGAAATTGAATTAGATGAGACAGAATAATAAATTTGCATTAAAAAAAAAACAACAACAGAAAAAGAAGAGAGTTCTCCTTTGTCAGCTTAACGTTGTTCTCCAACCGAATACAAAATAATGAATCAGTGGCATAACCGCATAAGCATATGTAGCTACTTGAAGGGTATTGTGAACCTTCGTTTATTCACACTTGTTCTGTGGCATCTGTGTGAGTCTGTCCTTGAAGTAGAATGTAAAATACATGTGACCGTCGACATCTTTTTTCTTTTTCTTTTTCTTTTTCTTTTTTTATTCTTTTTCTTGTTAAATGGCGAATATACCCTTCACTGATTTTTCTTCTGCACAAAATGCCCCTGTTCTCTACGGCAAATTACCTGCACTGCACATAATGTTTTTAGTCAGCACAAGGCAAATCATATAATGTTTGACTAATCGGAGAGAGCTTGTCTGGTTTCAGGCCTACCCAGTGTTTGCTTTTTAAATCTGCATTCCATGATTAGACTTTTAAAAACTCAATCATTTTACATTGATTTGTTTCTTTTTAATGGAGATTTAACTTATCACCGTATCAATTTACTTTTAGTGGCTTAATTATTCTGGGTTGAATTAAAAAATATGTCACACCCATATATCATATCAACTTGGGAAAAAAAATGAAATATGTCCGTTTGTCTATTCACAGAATCACAGCCGGATTCATGGGATTGCATTATTGAAATAAAATTTTGCTATTTATGTCTCCAGACCAAAAGCATGTTTCATTTAGGTCTGTTATGACGAGTTGATTATAATCAAGAAATATGGTTGCGAGACCAAAAGAAGGTTTAAGGTGTGAACCAAAATAGAAATATAAGAACCTATTTGCTTTATTTATAAAAAAATTATTGTTTAATTTTCCATATAATTTTAAAAAAATAAAAAAAGTGAAAATAATGTTATGTGTTTATAATTATTAATAAAATTAAAAAGTATTTTTTCAAACAGGACATATTTAAAAGTCTATTTGGTTTATTTTTACTTTTTTTAGTTAATGTATTTTCACTATTAATTATAAGAATATTATTTTATTTTACTCTATTCTTTATTTTTAAAAATTTACAAAGGAAGTATTGAAAACATTAATCAATTAATTGGAGCTGCCGTGAACGTGATGATGAGGATTGACCCCGTCGCGCCGTGGCGGTGGATTTTTGTCAGATACTTTGCAAGATGGCAAGTGCGACACACCAAAGACCAGATTCGAGCAACTGTTTATTAATTAAAATATTATTTAAATAGTACTATTGTTTATTTATCTAGCGCCAAAATAATTGACTATCATATTATACGTGCGGCTGTGCCAAGTTAAGATTAAATAATAAAATTAATTAATCTCATTCATTTATCTGTGTCAATTTTTTTTAATAAAATTATATAATTGTCAATTCATTGCCCTGCAAATACATTAAGAAACTTTGTTCAGATATTATTACATTGTCTGAATCACTGAATGCGCAGTTTTAAGTGAAGCGACATTTGCGGCTAAATAGACACCTAAAATTGGTTAAGGAGGAGCACAATAGGGTATGAAGGGAAATTTGAATAACATTTATAGATCAGGAAAGATTAAATAATGATTAAGAAAATAAAAACGCAGCTGAATAAAAGAAAAGACATTTTTTTTTTAATGAGGGAAAAGTAGAGGTGAAGATGGTGGCTATAGTCAGCCAATACATTGTAAAATGGCTTGACCAGAGTAACGGGAGGAAGTGGAATGTGCATAAACAAGCCACCTTTGACTATGCTTCACGTCTTCTAATTTGATTTAAAGATAATAATAAAAGACATTAATAATTATTAATTGAAATGATAAGAAAATTGTTTTTTAACAAGAAACTTCTTAATTTAAAAAATGGTTTCGGGAGAATCATTCCTATATTGGTCGGATCATACTTAAATTAAATTAAGTCAGATAATTGAAAAAAAAATGGATAAATGAAAAAAGTAGTAAGAGAAAAATCAATCCGTAGTCATTAAAACATAAACACTAGAAAAATGGAGAAAGACAAGTTTTCTGAGTTTTGATTGCTATTAATCTCCATTTTTCCTTATATGATCACATAAAGAAAAGTAAAATAGCGAAGTTTCAATTAATTAACTTTCAATATCATAGTGTTGCTTAGGCTAACAAGGGATGGATGAGATTGGGGTTGAGATTAAGGACAGTTATTGCAATTAGGGATAGAAACTTTAATTGATTAAAACGCACGCAGTATTATTTGACTGTCTTAACTCTTAATAAGTTAATAACGAAACTGGTGAAAAGACTACGTACGACTAGTGAGCACAGTTATAAACCCGATCATATGCTGTGGAAACATCCACTCTTAATACTAAATAATAAATTATGTTTGGTTAAATTTCATAAATCTTAATAGAAATTCAAAGCCTCGAGCCACCGAGTAAAAAACAGAAGCTTTTAATTTTTTTTATAAGAGAAGTAGTTTAAATAAAAAAGAGGTTAGCACAAAAAAGCTGTTTTTTAATACGTGTACAGATAAGAGGGTAGATAAAGCCATCAGCCAGATAATTCATAGCCATGTGCAGCTCTCGAGACTTGACTTGCATTCGCTTTGTTTGGCCTTCTTTTTCAATTTCTGTCACCGTGCTTTTGCTTTTTGGCATTGTTAGATTAGACAAGTGCGTGTCTTTCCATTATACAAAACGCTGCCTGTATTCCTAGCAACGCCAAGATTATTTATGATTGTTAGAGGATAAAAAAAAAATTATCCGAAAATCACAATTTTTGGAAATGTAACGAGAAAGTAAATTTTTCAGAAATATTATCAAAAAATTGTTCGATAGATTAAAATATTACTAGAAAGGTTGGATGAAGATTACTAATTCTATATTTGGTTGATTATGAAGAGTTATTTTACAAAAATAACTCCTCCATCCTCCTTCATTATTTTTCATTTTGCATTTTGACTTGGCGAGTTGAGGAAGGATTCTTATCTATCAATTGGTGAAGCCAACAACTTCTCACAAATGGATCCTTCTTTCCTACATTGTTTCTTCCCTTTCTTTCATCTTCAATATATTATGCATTTGGCAAACAATACATTTTCCAGGTTTGTAGTCTTTCCATTGAAGGCGATCCACAGTTTCATCCTTAGTTGGAGGTACTGTTGCTCTCAGGCTTCACAGTAAAACAAATGCCTTCTTGAGTCAATAATTAGTCTTGAGTCTTGACTGGGTTGAACTTGTAATGAACAGGAGACACGGGGCAAGCTAGATGGTAGATCTAATCCACCACCAGCAACAAAGGCTCAACGACGTCGTGTGAAAAAGGAGGAACAAGAAGGCACAAGTGTGAAGAAGAGGAACAAGTCGCTGCTAAAGCCTCAGGGCATTTTTGTCTGAATCAATTTCAATTATTTTCCCATAGAGTGGGATTTGTAGAATACCATGTGCGGGGTGGGATTATTCTTTGGAATTTTTAGTCATTTTTGTTCATGTTTCCAAAATCCAGGAAAGCAAGATTTTTGGGTAAATTTTTACTTTTCTTGTACCAAACGTGGGAAAGTAACATTCCCAATCCCACATTCCCAGTATTCTAAAATTTTTCTTCCTACCAAAGAACCCATAAGGAATAAGATATCAATTGTTAATGTGTTCGATACATAGGAATTGAGATGTCCGGTAAAAGATTATTGAATCTACGTAAGATTATTATGTTCTCGAATATCAATGAGGGAGATAACCTAGAAGGTTGCAAATCGTTGTGTAGTATGGTAAATAGTGTTGTCAGAAAGTGTGATGTATATATAGCGACAAATAAAAGAGAGTGTAAAAATGTGTATCTGGTTGGCTTAACATTTTATTTATAGATGGTTACCTGATATGAGTAGAATTCTGGATCTCTCAGGAATATTGATGGCCCAATACTTGATCCACTAGTGATATGGTAAGATTGATATCTTATTAGGCAAGATTATTTCATTATACCTCTCAGTTGTCGTCTGTCATGGGCTATCAAAAAATGTGGGGCCCATAACAGTTGCCCCATAGATTGACAGCCTGAGTATTTGGACTGTCGGGCTAAATATTTTTCTTGGATCTCGACCATGTCTGGGTGTATTCAGTTTGAGGATCTCGTTTAGTTGGCATCTGCTTGGTGTTCTTGGGTCGTCCTATCTGTCTTCCTTTGCAAGTTGTTCCTCATCAGCGTGACAAGGCCTAACTTTCGCATCAAGCCTTAGTCCTTTGTGCCGGGTTACTTTCAGCCTTATTGGCGCTTCTCTTGCTTCGACGCTCTTAGTCGAGGTCCTGTTCAAAGATCAGCCAGCATGCCTTAAACTGGAGTTCACACCACTTTCCAGGCTCTTGTGCCAACTTGTTTACACTGTTCAGGATGGTGGCCTTTTGGCCTTCCCACTCTCCTTATGTGTTCTTGTGTCGACCTATGGGGTTAGTCCAAAATGGTGACCTTTTGGCCTTCTCAAGTCCCTTTTTGGTGGTTGTGTGTTGGAGAACGTATGCCGCCCTTGCGCTTTGTTCTCAATGATGGTTTGTCGCAAACGTCTGTGTTAGGGTTGTTTGTCCCATGTGAAATGCCCACTTTTCCCTTGTCTCTTCAATTTCACGCCTAAAAGGTGACTTTTACATGCTACCCATTACCATTTTGTCTCACTTATATCATTTTGTCTTCGAGTTTCTTAAGCGTGTGTGTCATTTTCTCTTCAATGCTCAGGATTTCTTGGTTTGCATCCCCTTCTTTCTGGGTGTTCTTGTTGTTCCTTTGGGTTTGTCATTTCCACTAGGAGCGCTTTGGGTGTCTTTTCGTCAACGAAGTTTTCCACCTTCACTTCTTCTTAGATGAAATAGGTACTCTTAAACACATAACATCCCTTTCTTTGTTTTGCTTTTTTGTTATTTGCCTTTAATTTTCTGGGAAATCTGGGTAGCCTTAGGTATTTTTGGTATATGTTCGTAGTTTCTAGTAGTTTTTCTCTTTAAAGAATAATTTAGGTTCTATGCATTCTGATAAATGAGTAGGAGAGGCCTAAGTGAAGGAAGAGGTGCATCATCCATGCAAAGCAGCAGCAGTGGTAGAGACGACGTTGAGGAGGCTGCCCTCATATCCAATCTACCTTCCCGGGCCAAATATTTGATGGTTCTTTCCCTAAATTCTTCTAGGTTATGAATTGGGATCTTTGCCAAAGGGGAGTTCCCATTTAGGCCCGCAATGATCATGTACAAGTGCACGCTTTCGGGCATGCCTTGGACCCGGAGAGCGATCGATTTGAATTGATTGAGATATTTGCAAATGGGCTCGTCTTGTTCTTGCCGGATAGCCCCCAAGGTGAGCTCTGACATGGGATGTACCTTGCTAATTGCGAAGTTGGAGAGAAACTTGTCTGCAAACTCCTCGAATGAATCAATAAAGTTTCTTGGTAACCTGGAGAATCAGGTCATGATAGCCCTTGTCAAAGTAGACGTGAAAATCCTCGAGATGATGGCTCGTCTATCCCTTTCACACACATCTTTGTGTCAAAACCCTCCAAATGGATCTCGGGGTCTTGGCTTACATTATAATTTGGCACATTTGCCGATGTCCACCGTAGTTGGTAGGGCACATTGATAATCTTGTCCGTGAATGGACTATTGTTGTATATGCCTCGACAAAACTGTCGTTGGAAAGTGTCACCGTAAGTGTATCATTCAGTTCAGAGGTCATCAGTTCGGCCTCTATCTTTATATCGGCCTTTTTGCCTTAGTTGTGTATGTCCTTTAACTCGGCTCTGACCCGTTTCTCTATATCGCTCCTTCTCCTACTTTTTTCTTTGTTCACGATCTCTTTCGCCTTGAGGAGTTGGCTTTTTAGCTCATCTATCATTTGAGTGTCAACCCAGCTTTGTGTTAGGAATCTGTTCTACATTCGCCATGGAATTGTGTGGAGGGCAGTTTGCATTATACGGTTGTCCATGTCGGGCTATAAGCTTGGTTGGATGGGGTTGAGCTGCTGATCAAATGGACTCGGGTGGTTCGAAGGGAGGCTGAATCTAATAAGGTGTCGTTGATGTAGACATTGTTCATCTCGACCACGTGATCGGGCTCATATTCTGTGCTTGGGCTGTTATGCAGGTTCTCTGTGCAGCGGTTCTGGGGAGGCAGCTGGTGGCTATTTGCGGTGTTTCGCGTGTTCACCATCGAGAAGTAGGGATTGAAGTTTATCTTTTTCCCACACTTGGCAAGTTATACGAAACCCGACAAGTGTGCATATCTTTGTGCACTGTGATAAATAGCATGGTGAGAGAGTGGGGATGTGCACAATGACAGTTAGAGAAAGAGTATAAAAATGTGTATCTGACTAGTTTAACCTTTTATTTATAGATGATTACCTGGTAGAAGTGAAATTCTAGACTTTTTATAAATACTTGGGGCCCAATACTAGATATACTGGTGATATGGTAAGATTTATATCTTATTATGCAATATTCTTTAATTATATTTCTTCCCTATCATCTGTCATGGGCTATAAAGATTATGGGACTCACAAATTGGGCCATAACACAATGCATCAGGTCAATTACAAATTAGGCTCCTTTTCATATAATTTTTTTTATGACATTTGAATTGACTAATCCAATCTTCTTATATCATGTTGATCATATATTTATGTCATATTTTCATGTTATCATCATTCACTATTATTCAAAGGACTTTGGAGGAACTTTGTATAAATAACATCGTCATGTGAGCTAATCACCATTTAATGAGATGCAGAAAGTCAGGGGTAACTCGGAGAAAATTAATGCGAGGAGGTCTCTCATGAAATGTTACGTAAGCCTGAGAATTCTCCAACGCCATTTTTTCTTTTATTCACAACTAGTTAGTAGTTGTTGTCCAATCTTACACTAAAGATTGACATTTCTGTTATCAAAAAAAAAAAAAAGGTTGACATTTCATTTTCATACAATAAGAAAATGTAAGGAAAAATTACAATGATAACAAAGTAAAAAATAAAAAAATATTTTGTTTTCATGTTTCAGTTTGAATGAAGGAAAAAAAAAAGAATTTGGTAATGGGATATAAATATTTTTAGGCCCCCACTTTGAAATGTTGTTATATTTTAGGCTTAAAATGGCGGGTACTGATTCTACGGGAATGGAATATGAAGATTATTCTCCCACTCCATCATTGCGTTCCCATTAATTGGAAGATGACGACGAAGATGCTTGATCACATACGCGATCACATGGTGTGGCTAAAAATCTGCAAGTTCGAATTTATATGAATTTAATTCGAATTTTAAAAATGAAATGATTGAATATTAAATAAATTTCTTACAAATGAATATTAATATATATTTTTTAAAAACAATTTCAGTGGTTAATTTCTCATCTTGAAAAAAAAACACACTAAATTTACGGTTTCACTGAACATACCAACTTTTATTTACTATGACCGAAATGGAAAAATAAATCAAACAACCACTTCATTTATACACCGTCAAGATATAAATACACGTGCACTCTCCTTTCTCTTCGCCAAACGTTGAATAAGTGTCACATGATTATAGGATTAGTATCTCTTCTCTCTCCTCGATACGAATTTATAGTCTTGTCAAAACTTATAATACTATGCGTTACTCTTTGAACTCATTTTTTATAAGTATTTAATTTTAATTCTCAGAAAATATGAATTTGTATATAACTTAATAATGTGTTATTGCATAATTTTAAAAATAATTTGATGTTAATATAATGGGAAAGTTATAGTTACTACTTTTTTTCTTACTACTTGTTACTACCAAACATTAACAGTTGATTTCTGTCAATCTAACGGTTATAATTTATTGGGTCACATTTATTAATTAATTATTAATTCTAATAAATTGTAACCGTTAGATTGACGGAAATCAACGGTTAAAATTTGGTAATAACAAGTAGTAAGAAAAAAAGATAGTAACTATAACATCTTCCTAATATAATTATTATCATAATCAAAATTTATAGGTAGGCAATAAAATTTCATGTTCAAAAGGAATCAAAATTAGATCATCTGCAAAATTCCTAAAGTTTAAGAAATAGTTATAGAGTAAGGTTATACTTACAATCTATTTTCGTTTACAATCTCTTACAATCATATCTTAACAGTTAACTTCCATCAATCAACAATTATTATTTTCGCAAATAAAACTCATTAATTAATTATTAATTAGCTATAAATGATAATTGTTAATTGACGAAAATCAACGATTAAGATATGATTGTAAAAAAAAAAAATGGGTTCTAAGTATAATATATGTACTTATTAAAAAGTCAATAAAATAAATATTAACTTTTTTCCTCCCGTGATCTTGGAATCATTTTTTTGGTGAAAATCTGAAATCACTTTTACGATCACCAAAGGCGCGGGCCAATAGGCCTTTTTTTTTTTTTGAGTACACTAACCCCAATACGCTTTTTTCAGTAAAGAAAAGACTTAGACTTGTTAGATCAATCTTAAAAGCCCAATGGGCTTTTTCAGTAATGTGCACGAGCCCAACGGCCCAAAGACAGTGTTCCATTCCCAGTTTCACATGGGTGGTTATGGCAAAAGAGATAAAAACTGTGGCATGGTGCTTAAACCCTAAAGTTTGTCGCGCTCAACTGATTGGATTTCAAAGAGACTGAGGGAAACTCGAAATCGCAACAATGTCAGATAGAGAAGACAACGATTCCGACGCCCCTGAGGAATTCACAGCTGAGCAGGTCTCGTTCTATTTTCTTATTTTTGATTCAATGAATCAAATCAAAATCAATTTTTTTTTTTTTTGTTTGGAAGAAAATCGATACTTAATACCAGCGTGAACTTCGCAGGGTATTCAACAAGACGAAGAGATTCGAAAGATTCAAAGAGAAAATAAGGCCAGGTATTGCTTTAACCTGTGTTTAATTAGGTATTGCTTTAATCTCTGCAATAGGATTCACCAGAATTGTAATATGGATTCTGTTGGTCTAAGTTCTACTGAGGGGATGGGTGGGGTGGGGGGATAGGGACAGAAAAATTTACCGAGTAGAATTACACACACTATTTTGTTGAAAGATGCGACAATGCGAGCTTCTCATTGTGCTTTATATTAATTAATTAGGATTAAGGGGCTTAATGGTTTCGAAGAATGTGTTTGAAAAGAGTTTCATTAAATTTGAACAAACTTAGGTCACCTCAATGTATATAAAAAAGGGCTTTTTAGCTCAACATCATTTGTGTTTGTAAGATGAGAGTTTGCATATTTATGTAAGGATGTCATCAGTTTCTTAATTTATAGACCAACTGCTTCATCGCATTGATCGCTATGTGCTAACATTTGACATCTGTTCAATTGTTCTTGCAAATATCAACCTACATGTCACTCTTTTTTTCTGTGCTTTAATCATAGGTTAAGATGTGATTGCATGCTCTTCAGCTTTGCTGAAATCACCAGTAGGATTTATTTTTGTACTCATGCAAACCAATCAAAGTCAGTGGTGCCTAATGTGACTTTTCCTGGCAGGGTTGTTCGTGAAAGAAAAGAACGTCGGAGGAAATTGGCCCAATCTCGACCATCCAAAGCTGATGAAAACTCTCAAGATGTTTCAGGCACTGAACCTCAGCAAGAATCAAATACAGCTGCGGGGTTTCTTCCCGACAACATTGTCCAAATGCTTGCAGCTCGCGAGAAGTATGTATGACCTCTATCTCGTCCTAATATGCATGAGTTTTTCCGCACATATTTAAGAGGCTATAATTCATTTGCAGACAAGTGTTCTTATCTGACAGTGACGAGGAGAAAGATGAAATGAAGCCTACCGCTTCAAGGAAGAAAAAATCAAAGAAGTCAGGGTTAGGGATTTCAGCCTTTCTAATTCTATAATGATCCATTCGTGTTGCTTTTAGTCCTGTAATTAACTATACTCCTATTGTGATTTGCAGTTTTGAACCTCTTATTTTGAGCGAAGTAGGTCCTCCTCAATGCTTACAGAGCGCGTTAGAGTTCTTAAAAAAAAGGAAACTGTCAGTTCAAAGATCGTCTTCAGTTTTGAACAATTCCAACCAAGCATTGCGTCTCCTCTCTAGGTCAGGGGTGCTACGCCGGAAATGAGGATTTTTATATATTTACCAAAAAGAATGAGGTGTTAGTGTTGCAATACTTATTTTTAACTTGTTATCTTTGGTGCTTCTGTTGGTCTTGTGAACTGAATTGTAACATAAAGATATCCTAAATGTTAGTTACAGTTAATTATCCACTCGTGCTCTTTGCCGCATAGAACACGCTCCTCAAACCTTGAATTACTTTTAGATGAGGGAATAACACTGAAATTTCTCTTCCTAGAAGTATCTTTTTAATAACATCCGAAACTCAAATTTGATTACAAACATGTATTTAACGTTTAAGGATGGGTCAACCTGATGAATGATGATGCAGTTTCTAAGTTTAGTATTAAAATGTTTAATATGCAAATGGTAAATTACATTAGAAGCAATTTAGCATTAAGGCAATAGTCATATGGGTACATGGATCATATCGGAATATACTAGTCAGTGAGTTGCTTCTACTTAAGGTGCAGAGAAAGCGTCATCTTGTTGGAGCCACTTCTGCTCTTGGGTTGAGACTGTATTGCCTTCTGAGCTGCCCAAAAGAACTTCAAGAGCGCTTTTGATTTTGTTTAGGGACTTACGGTGGCGAATGCGTTGGAGGACAACCTGTTTGTTCAAGGTTTGAGATGAGTCTTTGGATGACAACGAAGACTTCAAGTGGAGCTGGCTTGAGATGGCACCAACTGTTGCAGAGTCCTTGTCCTCGAGGTGATCAAGGCTACCCATCTCTGTCTCTGATTCAGCTCTGGAAATCATGAAAGCCATTTTTCTCTGTTTTTGGTTGAGTCAGAATGTTGCTAAACCCAATAGTGTCAAAATGATAGAGGAATATAGATAAATCACCAAACACTCTCGTTTTAACAATATTTTGTTAAAAAATATGTTTTGAGCTCCGCTGTTTTTTCTTTTATAGGATATAGGAAGTGGTTTCATACATACTTTTTTTTCTCAAAGCCTGTTGTTTTTCTCAAACAAAGGGCAACAAGCATAAGTACAGTTGAAGGGACAAAAAGTGTGTGGCAAGTGGCAACTGACAAAAAGTATTGGGATTCAGCCGGGACGGATTTAGAAAATATAAAACGAGAGAAAGTATATAAACTTAAATAATAGATTTAGAAATGTAGAATTACGTTGAAATATAAGACTTCTTATATGAGAAGAATATGGGACCCATATCATTATTGTGTGTGTTTTCTCATCTTAACCCGAAATATAAATACTAAAATATATGGGCTTTACAATTGGAAGTTAAATTCATGTGATAAGTATTAGTGATAAGAATTAAATAAATATTACTTTTTTGTACATAAAAAAATTGAGGGGAGGCGTGGGCCACGCTACGTTGCTACTCCCTGAATCCATCCATCCAGGATTCAGATTTCAGCGCATTAGCTTACCATGAAACCACTACAGAGATTCAGCTGGCTGTCTATTGGGATGTCAGGCGATACATGCTGCCACTTTTTATTATTCCTAGCTAGCTAGGTATAATAAATTACTGTGTTATTTTTTTAATGTATACAAAAATTACGATCAAAATTCTTTATCAAGTGATTCAAAGCCAAAGGTTTAATAATATTTTCACTTATTAATGTTTAAAAATCCTTATATAAATAGATAAATAATATGTTGATAAGACCAACATCCTTGTCTTAGGAAGTTATGCTATGAGTTGGAGTAAAATTAAATTATGACGATTCGGCTAATAAGGATAAGTAAAAAAAAAATTGGATTTAGTGGTAAGTGTTTTATTCAACACTTGGTATCAGAATCGAGATCATTAATTCATTTCCCTAATATGACGCTTTGCGAAAGATAGATATTGAGATAATCATTGCTGAAGTCAATATCCTGCCTCAGTATGAATTAAAATCAAATTAAATCATGATGCTTAAGCATTGCACCCTGACTAACATGCTAACAGCTATTGCTTTCGGCCTAGTGATAACTGTTAGATCCAACAACATATATAAAGAGAAGAGAATAAAATATTTGTGTTCTAACGGTAATGGATTTTATACTTGTTACACGTGGTAAACTAAAGACATGAGGAAATCAGTGAAAAGGAGAAGTGCAAAGTATAGCTCTTCGATGGAGACAGCTTAGCAGAAAAACAATAGGCTACGCAAGTTGTTTTCGAATTTGGATCCCTGCAGTTCTAAAAGAAAATACAAGACTGCTGGGCACAAGTTGAAATCATGTATCTAAAAGCTATGGGATCGGATGGGAAAATTTTTCTTGTAATACCACGTTAGGGGCGTTTGGTAAATTGCATCTTGTTGAAACTACCAACGAGATTACTTCTTTATCATGTGGCCCAATAAAAGTTGCAGTGTTGTGTTGATAGAATGAAAAATGAAAAATTTAAAACTAATATATACAACAACATGAAAGTAAGGTAAGAGCGGAGATTATATTGGAAAATATTGGATTATATTTTTATTATGTACTCTTAATTAAAGAGAAAAGTGGATAACAAAATTAACTCACTTTTATAATATTGGAAAATAATTTTAAAATTACAAGTGCGGAGTGAAAATGGATTATATATATATATATATTTTTATTGTGCTTCTTGTTCTACCTCTTCGTCTTCACGCACCATTTATAGAAGACTAAGACAGTTATCTCAACTGTTAAGAGATAAGAAGAGTAGTTGTGGGACACTCATATCTAGCACGTAGTAAGACTATTCCCACACTTGTCAAGTAGCAATTTTTTTATGCGTCATTCTCCTCTGTTGAAGATTCAATTGCTAACAAAAGCAACTTTTTTATGGAACTCGTAAGGGATTCATTATATATTATAATGTACGGGGAAAAATGTGTGTCATTTTAAAGGATATAAAGTTGTGTCATTTTAAGAGAGAGAAAGAAATAGATAAAGAAGGAAAGAGAGTTGACAAAAAAATAAAGGAGTAGATCACACGTCCTTGTGAGAATGAAAGAATATAAGTTGTGTCATTTAAAAGGATAAACACTTTTCTCATAATGTATTTGGTAAAGTTTATACTTGATTCCATGGAGATGTAAGAAAGAAACACCAAAGTTAATTTTCAATATGTATTTTAATGCGTTGTGAGAGATTACTGATGATGTCTTCGCACAAGAAAAATCTCTTCAAAATAATTCTAAAAGTAAAAAGTTCAATAAATATATATATATATATATTTTTTGAGTAAACTCATATATCCCTGTCTCACCTCCATGGAAAAATTTAATGTGGTCGTGACCTACGATGGTTTTTTACTAAAAATGTGACATTTCGTGAAAAAAAATATTTTTCTTTTTTCACTTTTCTCTCTCCTCCTCTCTATTCGGGCCCACTCATTGAAATGTGCACCGATAGCACAAATTTAAAACTCCATAGGAAGAAACTAATTCCTTCATAGTTTGCAGAGTAACAATTTTCACCACTAATCTTAAAATGTTTCTTGTAAAAATCGAACTCATGAATTCATCAATCACAAATCACAAATCTTAAGTTACAGTATGCTTGAACTACACCTGGGGTTAGTTCCATACATATATTGACAATGGTTTATATAGGAATGAAGATGGAACAATGAGAATTTGTGATGTGACTTAATAGAAAGCAATTTCATTGCATTTCAGTACATAATTTCAAAAAAGGGAACATTAGGCAATGTGACATTTTTATGAAAAAAAAAATTATTGAAATGTCATGAGTTCAAAAATTTTACTAAAATGCCATGGTTTCAAACTCACTGGTAGTTGTAGCGAGTATGGTTTGCCATGTGGCACATTTTCTAAGGTCATCAAACTCATGGCCACTGACAGTGACTTTGATAACTCGTTATTTTGTGACATGTGTCACAAAATTTTAGCGTAAAATTTTCGAAAGTCATAACATTTTGTTCGGATGTTTGAATTAGGTAATTTTTTTATTTCACATAACTTTTCAAGATCTATACGCTAGTCAAATTTCCCCCCCGAAAAAGTACTTCCTTGTGTCTTGTTTGTTATATTTTATCTTTGTTAATGACGTTATTTGATTCATATTCTTATTTTTATTTTCCAACACTAAAAAACAATCCTCCCAGTACTCGAAAAGCTACGTGGAATTAAAAAAAAATACTCGATTTGAACATCCGAGGCTGAAGTCAGAGGCGAATTTAGGGGGGCTGGGGGTGCCCCCCAAACCAAATTTGAAGGAAAATTTTTTTATATATAAAATGACATTTTGATAAATATTATAAACTCCATGGGTAATAATATATGTGAGAATGTCCCAACAAATGAACCTAAGTCTGGGTAAAAGTTATATTTTTTGCATATTAAGATGATCTGATTTGTCTTCTCATCTTGTAGTCAGAAAATGAAAAATATTTAGGACTTGTGGTAAAGCAGGATTCCCAAAATTTCTTCTATGATTATATTAAATATCCGGTGCCCATATTGTTTCTTCTGTCTCTATTAGTTGCAGATGCTGACTCTTGCTTCCTATTTTGAGTTAACTTTCATTTATATGGATTGTTATTTGTTAACCATTTAAGATGCGACAATTTCATAAAAATTTGCTCTTTCTAACTTATATCAGTATGAAAATATTTATTCAGTTGATCTGTACAACAAAGTTTTCATAGATAATGATGACTACTTTGTTTGGGGGATCATTTTGAATCGATGTTGATGTTAAGTGGCCCCAATATTTAACGTTGATGTTAAGAGGACTCAAACTTGCTGCTGTATGAATACATGCCAAATAGGAGCTTGGGAGAGTGGCTGCATGTTCCAAAGGAATGTACGAAGTATATATGTTCACTATATCATCTTTTATTTTTTAATGCATTTTAAACTTTCTTTAAAAAAAAAATTCAGGGGTCCACCCCCTATGTAAATTCCTAGTTCGTCACTGGATGAAGTTATGGCTTTCTTAAAATGAGTTAACTTGTTCTGCCAATTGATAGTCTGTGCTCGCTACCACTGACAATGATTTGTCTTGTTCTGTCACGTGGTAGTTAAAACTCGCTATAACCATGAGTGAGTTTAGAGTCGTGACATTTTGACAAATTTTTTTACTCTCATAATAGTATTTCAATAATTTTTTTTTCAAAAAGGTGGCTCATTGGTGTATGTCCCTAAAAAGGGTGGCACCATGGTCTTTGTGCCAATTCCAGCCATTAAAAATGTTCAATTCAAGAGGAAAATGTGTATTATATTAGAAGATGTAAAATTGTGTGATTTCAAAAAATTTCTCATATAACAAAATAAATTTAATGGATGTGACTTATGCAGTTTTTATAAAAACTCCGGGATCATTATCCATTATTTTCATTTTTCAAACCAAAAGATGGCACATCTCCTTGGATGTTTAGGACTTATTTGGCGGAGAATAAATTATTCATTAATTTTTTATACTCAATCAGGTTCGAGCATTGTCACTTTTATATTATGAACGATTTTTTACTATTATTAATATTTTTTTATTTTCAGGAATCGAACTCGTAACCTTTAATTAAAGTAAACAAGCCTTTCTTTTTTTCACGTTTTTATCATTCAAGGCTCTGATATAAGCCTTTAACTAATGATTATTAACAATCACATATTTTATCTTTTCCACTTTATACTAATTACTAATTAGGGAAATAAATCATCTGCCTAATCATGGAGACACGATTGAACAAGATCAAGAAGGTTTTAAGAAAGGTTATTTGTTAAGTTGATGTGTGATTAAATTATAATTTGTATTTTTTATTAGTATTTGTTGTTAAATGATGTGAGTTGTATTGTTTATCATATGCT